GCAGTGCTGTGGGGAGAGGATGAGGAGAGAGAGGTGCTGGGGTGTCGATCAGCGCAGGGAGGCTGGGTGAGAGAGCCCATGCCCACAAGGCTGGAGGGCAGAAATGGGCATAAGGATTGGCTGGTCATCATCGAAGGTGCTCTTTGCACAGAGGGAACTGGTTATGAAATTATGGCCAGAGGTGCAAGATGACCCTATGGAAGAGGAGCTTTAAAATGCAAGTGAACAAACAGCAAGTACCAGGGATAAATTCAGATCTTCCTTTCCAGAGCACCAGCTCCATAGGGACCCCATGTCTTGCTGAAAGTAAAGCCACACCTGTAAGGACTCTTCAAGGCCCCTGAGTCTGTGTCACAGAACTCTCGAGTCCTCACATCCCAACAGATAATCCTAATGCACAGATGTCCATGGACAGAGGACACAGGGGATCCCATGTCTGGCACTTCCCTGGTTGGGCCATGGTGTGGTAACAGCTGGGATTCTTCCCTCCATGTGCATCCCTCCATCACCAACCCTCCCAGCGCCACTCTGGGCATCACCATCACCCCTGACACCCCACTGCCACCAAGGTCAGAGCAGGAAGGAATGCTGGGGGACAGGGGATGTTCCTGTTCTGCAACCTCACCTGGTGGGGAGGGAGGCAGGAAGGTGAGGGGCACAGCAATGACCTGCCTGGAGCCATTTCCTTCAGTGCTGCTTCCTCCCATCCCCTGCTGAGTTTTGCCTCTGGACACTGTCATGTTCCTCTTCACTCACACGAGGTTGCAGTGGCTGTCCTGGTGTCCTGGTCCTGTCCTTACAGCAAACTGACCCTGGGCTGGGATCTGCCCGCAGCCTGGACATTGTCTCCCCTCAAAGCCAGGTGTGCCCTGGCTCCAGCAGTCCCTGCTTGTAAGATCCAGCAGCTCTGCTCCAATGCTGCAGAGCTGGTGATGTGACATGGGACAAGCAGGGCTGCACACAAAAGACACAGTCCTGGCCAGAGCATCCCCCAGCTCTCTGCTCCCCACTGCCCACACCCCTCTGTGAGCCCAGCCAGGGTCCCTCAGGAGGAGCCAGCTGGCAGCATCCTGCTCCAAGCAGGTGCATTTCAGGGAAGGGAATGGAAGGAGGGAGGGCATGTCTGAACTTCCCTGCTTGAGGTCTCTGCCCACCAGCAGGGATGAGCACTGATGAGTGACCAGGGACACCTGCAGGTGTGGAAAATGTAAACCCCCTCCCTCTGAATTATTATAATTTTGAAATTAAGGAGCTCTCAGGCAAAGATATGGCAGTAGGAATAACAGTTCTTTATTAGGAAAATTAAAATACAAATGCAATAGTAAAAACAAACAAACAAACAAACAAACAAAACCCCATTGACAAAATCAGAGTGTGCCCTGCCCCCTGTGTGCCAGGGTGGTGTCCCAGCCCCATCCCATGGGGGCTCAGCCCTCCTGCAGTGCCAGCTGTGGCTCTGCTGCAGCAGGGATCCTGTGCAAGGGGGGAGTTTTCCTCTGCCGCTCCAGGGCTGCTGCAGATGGGCCTGGGCTCCCTCTGGCAATGCAGGGCAGCAGAAAGCTGCTCCTCTGGCAATGCAGCGGGCAAAGGCTGCTGTGCTGTGCCAGGCTCAGATTGGATCCAGGTAGGAATGCTTGGCTCCTGCCCTGGGCGGAGCATCTCCCCATGGGATGCTGGAATTGGATCAGCCCTGCAGGGACACTCAGTGGCCATGGACAGCAGAGATCTCCTGGAGGGAGAGTTGGCTGTGGGAGAGGTAAAGAAAAAACTGCCCCATGAACAGCAGAGAACTGCCCCAGCTCTGACAGATGGTGATATAATACACAACCCCATTTCCAACCTGAGACACTCTATCCTCAGGAACCCCTTGAACTCAAAGCCACCCAGATGGGACAGGTGCCCTCCACACTTAGAGCACAGACCCAGTCCCAGCCTCAGAAAGTCTCTGCATGTCTGGCAGCCTGTTATTCCAGCACAGATCCTTGTTTGTTTGCTCTGGTTCCTACTGGGAGCCAGTTTCTGCAGACACCTTGTTTAGTGCCTCAGTGCTGGTCATCTCAGCCATTCCTGAGCTCTGTCAGGGACAGTGGGAAGGAAGGGCAGTGTGTGATGGGGCTGCCTCCAGGCCTTACAGATGTGTTCTATCATCCCATACAGGGCACAAGAATTCCTCAGTCTATCCTCTGGCCATTCTAGGATCTGCAGGTAAGACAGAGGTGCTGGTGGCTTTTTCTCCAGGATAAGGCTGTTCTGCTGCTGGCCAAGCCCTGCTCTTTGCTCTGGTGCTTGGGCCTTCTGATGTCCTAGCCCTCAGGTGGCACGGGGTGGCAATGGGTGGCACTGGCAGGGTTGCCCAGGGAAGCTGTTCTGGCACACCTGCAAACACACAGGTGTGCACAGACGCGCAGCTCTCCAGCAAGCTGACAGCACAGTCACCTCAGTGAGCTGGGCTGGGGTGGCTGTGGCCAGAGCAGCCCTTGGAGCAGACACAGGGAAGGGTTTGGGGTCCGTGGGGCTGTTGGGGTGCAGCAGGAGCTGCTGCAGCACAGCGGGGTGGGGGCTGAGGAGGAAGGAAGCTGCAGAGCCCAGCACAAGCAAACAGGAAGAGCAGTGGGGATGTGTCAGGAAGGATGTGCAGTGCCCCAGGGGCAGACTTGGCCTACCTGAGCCAGGCCCAGGGACCTGTGACCCCAAATCCACCCCTGCCCTTCCCTGCTGGGGAGGGGGAGCCCACCTGTCCTACCTGAGGTACCCAGGGGTGGTCGTGGGTGCAGAGGGCTGTCCCCACGTGGGCAGGGGCTGGGATGGTGGGGTGGCACAAGGAGCACATGGGCAGGCACCGAGGGTAGGAGGCACTGAGCGAGCCCTGGCACATTCCAGGGGGATGGGGAACAGCCAGGGCACGGCCTGGGCAGAGGACAGCAGGCATGGGGGGATTCACTGCAGCACGGGGGGATTCACTGCAGCATGGGGAGATTCATGGCACCATGGGAGGATTCGTGGCAGCATGGGGGGATTCATGGCAGCATGGGAGGATTCACAGCAGCATGGGGGGTTTCATGGCAGCATGAGGGGTTTCATGGCAGCATGAGAGGATTCATTACACCATGGGAGGATTCATTGCAGCATGGGAGGATTCACGGCAGCATAGGAGGATTCATGGCAGCATGGGGGGATTCGCCCTGGCTTCCTGAGGGGCTGTGGTGCCCTCAGAGCAGCCCCACTGCCCCATGCCAAGCAGCCCGCCTCACACCTGCCCTCATCGCTGCTCCTGCCCATCCCTGCGTGCCCCAGAGTGGCACAGGGCTGGCCATGGCGTGTCACAGAGCCCATCGAGCTCACCCCACAGCCCCATTGGAGCTCCTGTGGAGCCTCCCGGGGCTCCGGGGAGGCCGGGCCGTGCTCGGGGCAGGCGGGCCGGGGGGAGCAGGGCCGGGCGGGCTGGGCCGAGCTGCGGAGCTGTGGCCGGTATGTGTGTGGGCGGCTGCCGGGGTGGGGGAGAAGGAGGGAGAGGAAGCAGCAGAGGCAGCAGCTCCTTTGATAAGCGGCTTCCTGAACACTTTCAAACCGTGCTGTCAGGCCGAGCGTGCCGTGCCCGCGGGCTTGGGCCAGGACCAGGACCGAGGGGCCCTCACGGCGGGGAGCAGGTAGGCAGCCCTCAGGGCACCAGGCTGGGCACCAGGCTGAGGAGGAGAGCCCCCAGGTAGTGCCAGGCTGCTGGGCAGGAGAGCCCTCAGGGCACCAGGCTGGGCAGGAGAGCCCTCAGGGCAGCACACCAGGCCTGTACCAGGCTGGTGGGCATGTGTGTGTGCATGGCGGTGCCAGGCAGGCCAGGATGCTGGGCAGGCCATGTGAGCTGAGGTGCTTCCCTGGCATCTCCCAGGTGTTTCCTGGCCAGACTGGGATGTGAGCCTGGGCTGTCTCTGGTCAGCAGCTGCTCTTGTCCTGCCTGCATTGAGGGCACAGGGATGGTGTGAGTGGCAGTGGTGGCATTGCCACTCCCAGAAATGGCACTGGGCAGCAGGGAATCCTGGGGAGCAGTTCCTGCCCCAGCTGTGTTCCCAACCACCATGTGGACACCAGCTCTCCACAAAACCTCCCTGAGCAGATGGGCTGCCTGGGATCCCACTCTTTGCCCAAAAAGAGCTCTGATTCTGCATCATTCCCTGGCTCTGGGGCTGTCTCCTGCTCATGGAGGAAGCAGGGGATGAGGAGGAGGCTCAGGGGATGAGGAGGAGGCTCAGGATCCCAGGGTGCTGCTGCACCATGAGGAGCTGTGCCCAGAGGTGAGTCAGCATCACCTGCACCTCCCCAGCCCTGGTGATGGAGGATGTCTGACACCTTCCCCAGCTGGGCTGCCCACGGCCTTTTGCTTAATGACCCAGATAAAGCAGTTTCCTCTTGACAGTTGCTGTGACCTGTAGGATGGAGGAGGCTGTCCCAGGGCCATGGGGCTGTAGAGGGTGCCTGGTCTGTGTGTCCCTGCAGCAGGAGATGGCCAGGCTCTGTGCAGTGGCTACAGCCACCTCGTGTCACCTGCTGAGCACTCAGACATTCCAGCTCCCAGTCCCCACCATGTCCCCAGGATGAAGCAGGGGGATGTGATGGGGAAGGGCTGGGAACACAGGGCATGTGCTTCCATGGAGGTGGAGAGCATCTGGGGCTCCCCCAGGCCAGGCTGTGCCTGCCACCATAGAGTGTGTGTCCTCCCCTCAGGGGAGGCAGGTGGCCCTTGGTGCCATGCCTTGGTCACCAGTGTGGGCTGCAATGCTGCAGGGAGGGTGACTGTGCTGGCAGCTCTCCAGGATATCTGCCTGCATACAGGGGCTGAGGGTCCTGCTTCCAGGACAACTGAGCACTTAAAATCCATCCTTGCTTGCAGACCATCTGTGGGGGCTCCATCCAGCCTCATGGTGTCTCTCAGATCTGACTTTTCTTTTCCAGCTGCTTCTCCTCCGATGGCTCCATGCTCTCCCAGGAGCTGAGTCCCTCCTGTGTGGCCCTGCTGTGCTTCAGGACGAGGGCTCTGTGCTTGCTGCAGCATGGTCCAAGCCTGCTTGGTGTGCTGCAGAGTTCATAGGGGCAGCCTGGCAGCCCAGGCAGCTGCAGAGGACATGGACAAGGCAGAGAAGCCCAGTCCCCCTGCCAAGAAGCACGTGCGGCTCCAGGAGAGGTGAGTGTGCCTCGGGGTACCCATGGCACTGCTCATCCCCAGGCTCCTCTGACATTACTTTGCCAGCCCTCTGCCTGCAGCTGCCAGCTCTGAGTGTGGAGGCAGCTCAGGACAAATCCCAAAACCTTCAGTCCTTCAGGGCACTTTTCTTCCCAGCAGAATGGAGAAATGTTCAGCTATCAATCATAAAATGTTCAGCTAGCTCCTGTTCCTCAGTCTCCCCGTCTGCTGGGGTCTCCATCTGCCCTTTGCCCAGTGTGGGGTGGTTTTAGCTGGTGATGCAGTGGGGTGGGCTGTCCTTCTGTCCCAGGGTGGCAGTAGGTCAGCCAGGGACCCTGTGCCTTGCAGGAGGGGCTCCAATGTGTCACTGGTGCTGGATATGAGCTCTCTGGGGAACGTGGAGCCCATCCAGCCTGTCTGCACGCCACGGGACATCACACTGAAGTTTCTGAGGACATCCAGCCACGTGCTGAGCAAACAGGAGCTCCAGCAGCACGCCCAGAGCCTGGCACAGCTCCAGGAGGAGTTCTTGGTGCGATGATCACGATTTTCCCTCTCCCTCCTCACAGGAGGGGTGCCAGGGGCTGGCAGTGGTGGGGCTGAACATTGGGCTCTGAGCCCAGCTGTGCCCCACAGCCCCAGGGGGAGGGCAAGAGGTGTGGGCAAACAGAGGGGAGGGGTGCCCAGGTCCCACCTGGTCCCTGGTGCACACATGTCCTGTTGGGTCCCTGCAAAACCCTGTCCTGCCCTGCCATACCATGCTCTTCTCCCAGCACTGCCTCTCTGGAAGGAGTCCCCCCACAACTGGAGTAACGCCAGGACTCATCCCAGGAGCTGGCACCTCTGCTGATGCCCCTGGGCCAGCTCTGCCCTGCTGGGCAGCCAGGTCTGCCACCAGCAGGGGACACAAGGGGCAGCAATGGGCTTTTCCTCATGGCTGTTTTCTCCCTCTGCAGAAAATCCCACCCAACTTTGTGAGTCCAGAAGAGCTGGAAATCCCTGGGCGTGCTTTCAAGGACAGATACAAAACCATTCTCCCCAGTAGGTGCCACTGTGTCCCTTTGCCTGTGTTTGCCTGTGGGTGAGGGGTGGACTCAGAGCAGCCCCGGCACTGGGGTGGGCACCCCTGGGTGCTGTTGCTGCCCATGTTGCAGGGGTGTGCACAGTGCTGGGGTACATGGGGAGCTGCTCCTACCCAGGTGTGCAGCACTCCTGGGGCCTTCCATGTCCCAGGGGCATGGTCCTGAGAGGGTAAAGGCTGAGGGTGTTGTGGAGGGGCACAGCTGGGCTCTGGTTACCCAGCAATGCTGGGTTTTTTCTTTAGAAAATCTTTTAAGGTTCTGTGGATGTCCTGGGGATCACTGCAGGTGAGTCACCCCACCTGCTCACTCTGGCACCTGCAGGTTTGGGCTGTGCCCTGCCAGGGGAGCAAGGCTGAAGTGGGACAAGAACAGGCCTGGGGGAGGGTGCAGACAGCTCTGGGCATGGCATGGAGCAGGAGGACTCAGGCTCCAGCCCCTGGGGTTGAGGAGGGAGGATGGTCAGGATCAGTCCCTTGGGTGAGACCTGTGACATCTTGCAGATCCTGAGAGCCGGGTCTGCCTCAGGAGGGCTGGGAGCCAGGAGGAAGACAGCTACATAAATGCCAACTACATCACAGTGAGTGTCCTCTCCTCCCAGGGCTCTCAGGGCATCAGGCTGCAGGTGCCACACTGCTCACACATGCTGGGGCACTGTCACCTGCTCTCCTGTGGCTGCCCTGGGGCTGCAGACTTAACTTGCCACCCCTGCTGGAGCTGGAGATGTGGCTCCATGTGCACAGGGCAGATACACTGTTCCTGTGCTGGGAGAGTCTCAGGAGGGAGCTGCTCTCAGCTCCTGGGCACACTGAGCACCCCAAAAGGCTCCCTGGCAGTGGCTTCTCCATCTGCTCCTCACACACTGGCCCATTGTCTGGCACAGGCATGGGAGGCAAGCTGTGTCAGCAGGTTATGGCAGCTCAGAGATCCTCAAACCTCACTCATCCTCACTCAGAAGGGATTTCCTCTCTGCTCAGGGAGCTTGCTGCAATTTCCCGGGACGGGAGCTAATTAAAATGGGGTGTAGCTTATGCTTGGCACGTGGTGGGTTCCTTTCCAGAGACTGAGAAATCCCAGACCCTAGGGTGTTACGTAGACAATTTAGTTTTGATTCCATCCCTGTGCAAACCCTTCCAGGCTGCAGTCTCTGCCAGAGTGGGATCTCTGTGAGCCAGGTGCCAGCTTTGCCCTTGGGGCAGGGTTCTAGCTGAGCCACTGATCCCACTGCAGCACTCTGAGCAGTGAAAACATAGGCTTGGATTATCACTACTGCTACCTCTAGGATAGTTAGTAAGAAAAGAACTAGTAGAGTTAGGAGTGAAACTGCTGGTATTGCAGAGAATGGGGCTGCCCAGGGCCAGGGAAGCAGAGGGGAGCTGTGGGTGCTGTGAGTGAGCCATGAGGGAAAGCAGGATGTGGAAAGCAGCCCACAAAAAGTGCTGGCTGGGTTGCCACACAAACCCCTGGGAGGTGGAGCTGTCAGGAGGGCAGTCAGGAGCATTTCTCTGCTGGTGCTGCTTGTGGCTCAGACCCACAGCAGCAAGCAGCACCCAGCAGGGAGGGTGGAAGCTCCCTGAGACAGGAGCACTGTGCCCAGAGCTGCTGGGAGCTGCAGGGGCAGTTTGCCCACGGGCAGCAGAGGAGCTGTGTGTTCCTGAGGCAGCCTGGCAGCTGCAGAGCAGGTGACACTGCCACCCTGTCCCTTCACCCCAGGTGTGGCACACCCAGGAATGCTGGGATTTTCTTTACAAGATCTTTTAAGGCTAAACTAGTTAATTAAAAAATGACACCTAAATTATTTTCACTTTAACTCAATAACTCAAATAATTATCAAAGTCCACAATGTGGGTTTTTTGTCTAATTACAAAACACTACTTAAACTTACGAAGAAGAAGGTGAAGAATAAGGACTAGTAACTGGTTTAAAACTAGTTTATTTAGGTATATATATGTATATATATATTATTGTAGTCTATTTTAGTTATGTATATATTATTGTATTCTAAAACTCTAAATTTTCTACTCAGTGAAATCACACACTTCTAACTGAACACATTATCCTAGTGCTATCAATCAGCTTTGGAAGCCCTCTGTACAGCCCCAGGTCAAACACAGTGTTCTCCTGGGGGTCAGAGTTTGTCAGCACAGAAAGTTTAAAACTCTCAGCATCCAGAACTCCAAAATCTCCCCCTCTTGCTGCATCCCCTCTGCCTCACTTGACTGCTGGCAATGCACAAGCACTGCCCATCCCTGTGGCACACACACCTGCACACACCTGTGCCCACTCTCCCCTGTGTGCAGCTGGTATTTCCTGACTCCTTCCTTCCCCTTGCCTCCTCAGAGGTGTAGCAGGGCAGGAATTTGTGGGCACATCAGAAAATTGGCACCCCAGCCTGCCTGGGCATGCCTGGGAGGCACAGGAATCTGGGAGGGCTCTGCAGGTGTTTGATCACATCAGCTCCACCTGGGATTGATGTTCTTCCTGCTGAGGTGTTCCATGAAATGTTTCTGAGCATGGCTGTGGGGGGAAGGTGGAATTCCCAGGGTTGATACCCCCAGGGAAGGACACTCCTGAATGGAAAATCACATTTCCTAGGGAAAATAAATAATTTCAAGGCATGAAATTAGGGCTCTGCAAAATGTTCCTGAGAACATTCCTATTCCTTAGCTGGGCCAGTGCAACTTCTTGTGAGACCAGAGCATCAACAGATTGCTGGGAGGGCGTGGATTTTCCATACCTTTGGCAATTTTATACCAGGAGAAGTGTCTGGAGACAGAGGATGCCTGGAGCTGTGAAGCAGGGATTCCTGTTTGTCTCTGTGGAAGTTCCCCCACTGAGGAGTGCAGCTCCTGGCGTGAGCTTTGCCTTGCCAAGGCATCCATCAGCTGCTGGCACACTGATAGTGATCTTGGGTGTGCTAGGATGGACTTGCTCCTGGAGATGGGACCAGTGGGGTGGGGAGGATGCCTGATGGCTCCTCAGCAGATCTGTAAAGCATTTTAAGGACAGGTTCGGTAGGAAACAGTGTCTGTGGCTCTGAACTGTGGAGGAGAAAAGCGTGGTGAGGGCTAGAGTGAGCTGGACACAGCTCCGCTGCCCTCAGGGTGCCCTCAGGGTGGCCCGGTCCCTGACAGGCTGTGCTCGGCAGGGCTACGCGGGCCGGCCCCGGGAGTACATCGCCACACAGGGCCCCCTGCTGAACACCGTGAGCGACTTCTGGCAGATGGTGTGGCAGGAGGAGGCGCCCCTCATCGTCATGATCACCGAGCTGCAGGAGCGCAAGGAGGTACCAGGGAGCCTGCCCAGCCCTGGGCACAGCGGGACGGGGTGCTGATGGCAGCAGAGGGCTGTGTGAGGTCAAATGTGGTGCTGTGCACCCACTCACTGTGCTTCTGTCCCAGAGGGTTCCCTGATGAATCACAAGTGGAGGAGGAGATCCCCAGGGCTGCAGCCTTGGTGCTAGCTGGTTTTCCTCCTCACATGGCTGTGTGCTCTGGGCAGTCTTTACCAGCTGGATAATAAAGGGTTAAAGCTGGATAAAGGGTTTAGGGCAGCCCATAGGGATGGGGCAGAAGCAGTGGGCAGCAGTGCCCCCCTGGCCCCCCAGAGCTCTGCTTGGTCTGAGAGCTCTCAGCCGGGGGATCCAGCCCAGGGGAGAGGGCACTGCTGCCCACTGCTTCTGCTTCTGGGATGGGAGCCAACAGCACCTGTCTGGGGAACTGAGAACTGGAAACTTTCCTGGCCATGTCCTTGCTCCCTTCTCTCCCTTCTCTCCCTGCGCTCTGGGTCCTGCTGTGTCTGGAAGATTCCTGGGCTGAGCAGGGATACACATCCCTGGGGCCTGAAAGCCAGGGCAGGGCATGGGAGAGGGTGCAGGGGCAGGGATCCATCCCTTCTTTGCTCTCCCTCTGTATCACTCTACCTCCACCTTCCCCACTCCCCTACTGCCCCCAAGGTGAGGACCCCTCCCACCAGCATTGACTCAAGCACAGTTCCAACGTCCTTGAGGAGGGTCCTTGGGTGCCTTGAGCATCTCCACAGCCACAAACCTGCCTTGTTCTCCAGAAATGTGTCCACTACTGGCCCGAGAAGGAGGGCACCTATGGCCCCTTCACCATCCACGTGCAGGGGGTGAGCGAGTCTGTGGAGTACGTGGTGCGGGACCTCTCCATCCAGGTGGGTCTGAGCCTCATCCTGGGGGCACAGAGGGAGCACCTGGGTCCCAGCAGTGCCCCTGACACCCCTGGCATCTCTCTGGTGAGATGGCAATGCTCTGTGACAGGAGAGAGGAGGGTTCATAATTCTCAGGAGGGCCCTGCCAGAGGAGGGGTGTGCAGAGCCTGGGGAGGCTGGGAGGGAGCAGGAGCCAGCCCTGGGGTGCAGAGGAGAAGGGTCAGCTGGGCAGAGCAGCACCAGCCTGGTATTTTTGCACTGTGTCACTGGGCTCTGCCCCATGGGCTCTCTGTGTCACCCTGGGCTGACACCAGCCAGAGGATCTGGCTTGCTTTGCCTGGACTCCGGTGGCAGTATTGGAACACTCTGCATCTGTTCTCATCCTCTGGCTCTGGCCCTGGGGTCTCTCCCTCATGTCTGGCAGAGGCTCAGAGAGGGATTCAGAAGGAAAATGGCTGAGATGGGTGCAGGCTGCTTGAGCTCTGCTGAGCTGAACTGCCCATTTCATCTGTCTTGTGCCCTCACATCCCCATTTCTCTTTGTGCTGTGCTGGAGAAGCTTGGGAAGGAATGCCGCAAGGTGAAGCACATCCTCTTCCCTTCCTGGCCAGACCAGCAGACACCTGAGTCAGCCAAGCCCCTGCTGCACCTGGTGGCCAAGGTGGAGGAGGCTCTGCAGACTGCAGCCAGCCCAGGGCCCATCGTGGTGCACTGCAGGTAAGAGCTTGCACCTCACTGAGCCCTCTCTGTGCTTCTGTCCAGGGTCAATCCCCTGTGAGTCCTCACACACAGGTCCCACAGTGGTGCAGAAATCCCAGGGCACAGCCACCCTCAGCAGAGCTGTCCTGGCAGCAGGATGGTGGCATTAGAGTGGCATATCCTGCACTGGGGTCCAGCAGGTCCAGCAGGGTGGGAGCAGGAGGGGTCTGCATTTGGGACCCAGCCACCAGCCCCACCTCACACCCACAGCTCCAGCTCTGGAAGGTCCTGCTTGAGCAGGGAGATGGAACCAGGTGACCCCATGGTTGGTCCCTTTGAACCTGACCCATTCCTGCTCCCTCCCTATGCCACCCAGCATGGCCTGTGGCTTGGATGTTGCCATGTTTCAGGACAGCCCTCCTGCAGGAGGTGGCCTCTGCCTGTTCTCTCCTTGCTGAGTGAATCTGAGAACAGTGGAGCACAGCACCCAGCTGTCCCTATGGAACGTGCAGCATGCACTGCTGCAGGCTGAGTGCAAAGCTGGTGCTGGGGTTAGAGCCCAGCTGGGAGGGGAGGGGCTGCAGAGCCCCCTGCCCTGCACAAGGATGGGCCCAGACTGGTTTTGTGCTTGCAGAGCAACCTCAGCTGGGCTGTGCCACTCGGCAAGAGCTCCCTGCCATGGCAGAGTGATCCCAGCCCATGGATTTGGTGCCTGGCTCAGAACCTTGGTCTGGCAGCTGGGGCCAGGACCCCGCATCCCTCTAGGCAGAGATCCCAATCCAGGAGTGCAGCAGCTGAGCAATGCAAGCACAGGCAGTGGGTGCTGAGGGTGCTCACAGCTGTGTCTGCCCTGCAGCGCGGGCATCGGCCGCACCGGCTGCTTCATCGCCACCAGGATCGGGTGCCAGCAGCTGCAGGACACGGGGGAGGTGGATATCCTGGGCATCGTGTGCCATCTGCGCATAGACAGGTGGGTACACAGGGCAGGGGGCTCCCTGCTGGGTGCCAGCCTGACTGCAGGGCTGGGGGAGGGATGTGGCAGAGACATGGGGATGGCATCCCAAGGGGCACGGGGACTATTTCTGCTGGAAACCAGAAGGGTGGCTGGGGGATGCAGGTGAGTGGATAGCAAACAATTCCCAGTGCCAGGCTGGTTCTGCTGTCAGAGCTGTTGTAGCTCTGAGCTGAGGACACAAGGGAGGGAGAGGGGCTGTGAACCTGGCAGCCATCTGCTCCTCCCCTCCTGCTCAGCCACTAAATCCAGAAACACTCCACCTGGCCACTTTTCAAGAAGAACAGGTGAAAATTAGCACCAAATCAACTGCTAATCTCATTTTGAACAGCCCAGCAATGCTTCTGAACCCCTCTATTCCTTGGGCTGCTCTGCTGCCCGTTTCAGAGGCATCTTGACACGGCTGGTGCAGCGGGAATGTTTGTGCCCTGGGAGCAGAGAGTTGCAGCAGGGTTCTGTGTCTGTGAAGTGTCAGTGGGCCCTGCCTTTCCCTTGCAGGGGTGGGATGATCCAGACGAGCGAGCAGTACCAGTTCCTCCATCACACGCTGGCTCTCTACGCCTCCCAGCTGCCAGAGGGGGCAGCCCGCTAGTGCAGGGCTCCCGCCGGGCCCGGGGCTCCCTGCTCGGACCTCTCCTGCACCAGCCTGGGGACACCTTCACCAAAACCCCTCCTGTGCTGCCAGGCCACAGAGCAGCGGCATGAGCATCCCTCGGGATGAGCACAGCCCAGCCAGCCCAGCTGTGGCTTTGGACCCTGGGGATGAGCAAGGTGAGGTGCTGCACTGGCTGCTCCACGTGGCCACTGCTGCTGCCTCCAGGCAGATTTCACCCACAGAAAGCAGCTTTGGCTTTTGAGAGGTGCAAGATCCTGAACCAGAAGAGCAAGCTGTGTGGAGGAACTGCAGCTGGCAGAGGCTGGGAGTGTGGTTTGCTTTTCAGCTGCACACAAATGTCCACCCTGTCAGACACAGCGCTGGTGGAACTTCCCTGAAATAAACAGAGCCTCTGTCCTGGCTGTGCATCCTTGTGGGCAGGGCTGGGCTTGCTCCACACATGCACCACTAAACTGTTCTTGCTAAAGGCACATCTTGATGGCTTGGTACACAGCCACTAACAGCGTTCCACAGCTTGCTTTCCTCTCCACCTTCAGCCAACACCTCCTCAACAGCCTCAAAGCAGAATCATAGAATTATAAAGGTTGGAAAAGACCTCCAAGATCATCGAGTGCAACCTCTGATCAAACCCCACTGAGCTCACTAAACTGCATCATGAATTTCCATATATATTTGTTTCTTGAACACCTTCAGGGATGGTGAGTCCACCACCTCCCTGGGCACCCTGTGCCAGTGCTTGAGCACCTTTCAGGGAAGAAATTTTCCCCCATATCCAGCCCAGACCTCCCCTCTCTAGCAGGGGAGATTCCCAAGTGCAGTTTGCAAGTGATGTGTTCCCAATTGCCTTTTGTTACATGAGGGTGGGGATTTTAAATTCTTGGGGTTTTTTTCTGAATTAAGAACAAAATAATATTTGGGTTTTATTAGGTTGTCTTTTTAACTGATAAATCCAGAGAGGGAAATATAGAAGATGGAAAAACATTTTGTTGTAAAGCATGGAGATGGAAATACTCTGGGAAGTATTTTGAAGTACTATGAAGGTATCCAAAGCTGCCCTTGCCAATGGGCATTGGACACCAACTTGGGCAGTGAGGGCTGGGAAGGAGAAGGGAAATGCCCAGTCTGTGCCCACCCATGTCATGAGCCCTGACATGACCCAGTGTGAGATCCAGGGAGAAAAGGCTCAATCTTCCTGCTGGAAGACATGTGTGCATGATCTACCTTTTCCCCACTCCATGGCTCCCCAAAGTGCAGCTGAGTTGCTGCCCAATGGTCATCCCTGCCCACTTCCCTCCCTTGGCACCAGGCACAAATCTGCTTTCTGGCCCAGCAGCAGGAAAAGGAGCAGATCTGAAGTGCCATCCTTTCACCTGCTGCATTTCCATCACTCTGGCAGACAAATCCCCCTGCTCCTAGTGCCAGCTCAGCCCTTCCTCATGCCCCAGCCTGTCCAGCCTGGTAATTTGGGGTGGAATTGTGTTCTCTGTGGGACTCCTGTGTGATGCTCAGGCACTTGGAGAGGCTGTGGAGTTTCTGCAAGCTCTCTGCAGGTCAATGCATGGCTCAGGACTTTGCCTTCTCAGGTAATTTGGTGTAACATTTGTCTTTAATGGTGTCTCTGAGGCGCCCATGGAGGTTTGAGTTGTCAGACAGGATTTATTCAGCATCCCCCTCCTCAAGTCATTCCTTACCCACTGCCATCAGGCAGGAGAAGTTGAAGACTTGCAAACTGCACCTGGACAGTTTTCCTGCACTCCCTGGACAGCAGGACACACAATTTTCCTCTTGCTTTCAGTCTGCTGTCCAGAGGAGAGCTCTCAGGGCAGGCTCAGGCCTGAGGGTCTCCCAAGGCATGCAGGAGCAGCACCAGGATCCCAGCTGGGCCAGGGCTGTTGGCACCTCCTCCCAGATTCCCCATCAGGTGCTGGGAGCTTTTCCAGCTCAGCTGTCTGATGCAGATTATGATCAGTTAAGCAGATTTCCTGCCTTTGATCTCAGTTTCTACCAGCCCCATCTGCTCCACACTTACCTGGCCCCTGTGGGAGTTCTCTCCATCCTCTGTGGATGAACCATCCCCTGTGTTATTGCCAAACCCTCCCTGGGCTCAGCCCATGTCAGGGGTGCAGCAGGGTTTGTGTAGCTCAGTTTGAGGTCATTGGGAGTGGGGTTGGCTCAGCCTCATCCCCTGTGGGTGCAGCTGTGAGCAGCAGGTGAGCAGCACTGACAGCACTGAGCCATGGAGTGCCCAGGGGTGCTGAGCAACCACAGAGGGCACACAGGGGCAATGCATGAACATGAGGGTGGGCTAAAGAACAAGAAGGACCAGTTCTTGAAGCCTTCTGAAGTGGTGTGGTGCTGCTCTGTATGGGTTGAAGCCTTCTGATATTACATGGTGACACTCTGTGTGTCATGGCCATCTCACCTGTGACATGTGCTGTGACAGGTTTGAGCTGCTCTGGCTGTGTCCTGAGAAACTGCTTCACCCAGTCCATAAAGAGCACAGGGTACCAGCAGATAGAGGAAAGGAATCTCTCCAAAATCTCATGCTTCCCCATGCCCTGGGCTAGCATTAAGCCCCTGAACTTGGGTCAGCACTGCCAAGATTGCTGCTGTTCCTCAGTTCCCCACATAAACCCCAGGTATGGTCCCAGCTGTCCTTGTCCTGCTCATGGTGTTCCTGTGCTCCAGGGAAGGTGCAGCCCAGGCAGGGCTGGGGGCCCTGGGTTGCAGCATCCTGAGAACCATGTCCTCAGGGCTCAGGAAAAGTCCTCCACACAATCATAAACCAGTTTGGGTTGTAATTCCATCTAGTCCCAACCCCTTCCACTATCCCAGGTTGCTCCAAGTCCAGCCTGGCCCTGGGTACTCCAGGGATTATTACAGCAACCTGATGAAGGTCTCCAGGGTGAGAGAAGGATGAGAATCTTGTTTGATGATCAGAAGGCTGTATTTATTGATATATGATATATAATACATTATGACTATACTAAAAAGAATAAGGAGAGAAGTTGCAGAGGCTGCTAAGCTAAGAATAGCATAGAAAAGAATCTAAAAACAAGAGAGTTCTCTGTCACTGTGTTCCAGAGAGCTTGCCCTGTGATTGGCCCTTAATTGTACACATGGAACATGAATCAATCACAGGTGCACCCTATTGCATTTCACAGCAGCTGATAACAATTGTTTACATTCTCTTTCTGGGGCCTCAGCTTCCCAGAAGATGAACAAGTCCCAAAGAAAGGATTTCTATGAAAAAATGTCTGCGACAAGGGATGGGGCAGCCACAGCTTCTGTGGGCAGCCTGTGCCAGGGCCTCACCTCCCTCTTCGTGAGACATTTCTTTCTTACATCTAAGAAAATATATTAGGTGTAAAGATATAAGATCCTGTCTATCCACATGACTGTAAATTTGGCCTGGGGTTTTCCAGACTGGTAGTCCTTGCAACAACTCACTGGGATAGGAGGAACACAACATGGTGGCCACATGACACACATCACTGTTGTGGCACACACCACCTTTGGTGGTGGCAAGTAGACCCAGAATGCTCCAAATTCACTTGCAGCTGGTGGAAAGCTTCAATGCCATCAAACACAGCACTGCAAGTCCTTGGAAAGGCAGAGCATGTGCCAAAATCCAGCATTTTGATTAAGCAATAACAGCTTTGCTCTCAGGTGAGTGATGGTAACCACAGGCTCCAACAGCATCCATGGATTCCAAGTAATCAGTGACCAAACGATGACCTGGAAAGGAGACATCTCAGGGCACAATTTGACATTTCCAGGCAGCACTGGGGTGCCAGGACCTCAGGAGGGCCCCATGGGAGCACCTGCAGCAGGTGGGAGCCCATGGAGGATGAGGCCCACAGCAGCACCCAGAGCCAGAGGGAGGCTTGACTGGGGGCTGGGAGCACCAGGAACACTGAGGGACATGGCAGTGACAGCTCTTGCTGCTGCTTCTTGGTAAGCCAGGGTTAAACTCAGCCAGGGGAGCACCAGGAAAAGCCTCCCCTCACCCATGTGGGCTGGCACAGCCCTGAGCTCTGCTTCCTTAAGGAATTTGGTTGAGCAACCACATCAAACCCTCCTGGGAATGTCAGACATGCTCTGGAGAGGTCTGGGGCTCTCAGGTCTGGAGAGGCCCTGGGGTGGTGCCACCTCTTGCTGCCTAGTCGCCAGCTCTGGCATGGACACTGTGGGGTGACACCATGGGGACAGTGCTGCAAGGGTGCAGCCACAGGGACCGGATCTGCTGAGTGACCCCTGCAGGTGCCGCCACGGACCCTCTGCAGGGAGTAGGGCTTGGGACCCTGGTTCAAACCACTGGGAAACAGCCAAATGTCCCCAAACCTGTCAGGGCTGACTCCCCTTGATGGGAATAAGGAAAATAGGGTGGGTGGAGTGGGGATAGCACATAAAAATGATCTTTTTTGCTCATTTGGTTGTATCTCACAGTGTGGGGGTGGTCAACAACTGAGCTGTAGTGGCTGCTGTGAGGGGTGAGTTTGGTTTGGGCACTGGATGGGCAGTGTCTGTGGCAGGGACTGCAGGAACATCCAGGGGCAATCTCTAACAGCTTCAGTGCTACAGGAATGCTGGGGTGGGGGGAAGCCCCAAACTGGTGTAGGGACATTCTTTGGGCTGGAATGTTTATCAAAAATCTGATTTCCCCCTGTATTCATGGGGCCCCACCTCGAATGCTGGGTAGAGTTTTGGGCCCCTCATGAAAAGAAAGGCGCCTCAAGTGCTGGAGCATGTCCAGAGAAGGGAGTGGAGCTGGGGAAGGGTCTGGAGCACCAGGAGGGGTTGAGGGAGCTGGGAAAGGGGCTCAGCCTGGAGCAAAGGAGGCTCAGGGGGCACCTTGTGGCTCTGCACAACTCCTGACAGGAGGGACAGCTGGGGGAGTTGGGGTCTGCTCCCAGGGATCAGGAACAGGAGGAGAGGGAATGGCCTCAAGTTGCACTGGAGGCTGTTTAGATTGGATATTAGGAAAGATTTCTTCACCAAAAGGGTGGCCAGACCCTGGCACAGGCTGCCCAGGGCAGTGGTGGAGTCCCCATGGACATGGTTCAGTGGTGACCATGGCAGTGCTGGGATCACAGTTGTACTCGATGATATCAGAGGACTTTTCCCGTCTGAACAATCCTCTTATTCTATGAAAAAAAATATCTTCAAGGAGAAATTCCATGCAAGATTTGGAAGATTATGAATTTTTCACTGGTATGAGGAGTTCTGAAGGGGTGATTACAGAAAACAATGATATTTCTGCTTCCCAGGCCTCCCTTTAGGAGCACAGGGATCCTGAGCAGGCTGCATCAGCTTGGAGAGCAAAACACTTCTGTCTCCAAAAATAAAGTCAGCTTCCCCGTGACTTATAGCACATGAGGGAAACTTCCCCACCATTAATTGTCAGGGCTGTGAGGTGAATTGAGCCCTAACGCAGTTTCCCCATTTCCTGTGCACACCCATTTGTCTCAGGCAGCTCCAGCAGTGGATTCAGCACTTTGTGTCTCACAGAGCACCAGCAGCTGCTGCAATAAAGGATCTGCTGTGAGGGAACTGCAAACAGCCTGGTGTGTCAGTCCTTGCTTTAGGCCTGGCTCAAACCCCACGTGGATGGAATGAGCCCTGTTGGAGTGGCACAGCCAGGGAGCCCTGTGTGGGAGAGCACAGCAGAGCCAAGGCACAGCCTGCACCCCCTGGGGCAGCTCTGCACCCCCAGCCCAGCAGAGTGAGCAGGGCCAAAGCAAGAGGGTTCTGAGGCTGCTGAGCCTGAAGGCTGCTGAGGCAGCAGGCTGGGTACGGCTCTCACAGGAACATCCTCTGAGGGAGCTGTGCCTTTGGGTTGTGTCTCGTTCTGCAGGTGGGAATTGCCAGCTTCTGTGGCATTGCTCGGGGCTCCTGGCACCCCCTGCACCCCCGTGCCACTCTGGCTGCTGGCTCCAGCTCTGCTACACACCCCACACCTGCACCCCCAGTTCTGCTGCACTGATCACACCCTGCACCCTCCAGTACCCCAGGACATCTGCAACCCCTGCACCCTGCATCTCCCCCACCCACACTGCTCACACTGCCTGCACCCCTCAAACACCTGCACCCCCAGCACCCTCAGCGTCCCTGCAGCCTGCACCTGAAACATCCCTGAACCTGAACCACCCCTGCACCTGAACCACCCCTGCACTTGAACCATCCCTGCACCTGAACTATCCCTGCACCTGAACCATCCCTGCACCTGAACCATCCCTGCACCCCTGCAGCCTGCAGCTGAACCATCCCTGTGCCTGAACCATTCCTTCCCCCTGCAGCCTGCATCTGAACCATCCCTGTGCCTGAATCACTTTAGCCTGCACCTGAACCATCCCTGCACCTGAACCATCCCTGCACCTGAACAATCCCTGCACCTGAACCATTCCTGCACCCAAACCACCCCTGCAGCCTGCACTCAAACCATCACACACACATCACCTGGGGAAACTGAGGCCTGAGGCCAAGCACAGCCTCCAAAGGCACCAAAACAGTGACTGGCCCATCACTGAAGAAAACAGCAGGTGGATGAGGTCCTCCCTGTGCCCATGGAGCTCCCATCAGAGCAGGTGCACCTCCCTCAGGGCTGGAGCTCCAAGTCCCCACTCACCCACTGGTGTTCCCTGAGCCTCAGAAGCCAGGGGCCCTGCTGGGACCTCGCCACCTCTGGTGTCCCCTTGGCACACCCTCCTTTGGATGCCACCAGCCCTGGGCAAGGGGACCCATAGCCAGGGGCAGCTCCTGCCGCGGCAGTACCTATGGCAGGTGACACCAGGGGGACAGGTGACACCACAGGGACAGTGGGGCAGGAGGGCAGAGGGGCAGCCCCACGGGCTGGCTCTGCCTCGCTGTGTGTGCCAGTGGTCTCAGTTGCACTCCCAGGTGTGTGGGGGGCTGGGGTGCAGGTACAGGTGCAGGATTGGGGTGTGCCCCGTGGCATGGCTGGAGGGGCTGGTGCCAGCTGTGCCAGGGCACTGCCAGGGGTGCAGGGAATGCTCCTGCCGGGTGCAGGTGACCAGCACGGGGGTGATGGAGGTGGAGGTGCTGGGTGCAGGTGACTAGCACGGGAGGCACAGGGTGATGGAGGTGGGGGTGCTGGGCACATCGGGCACCAGGTGAAAAGGTGCTGGGGGCACAGGAGTGCAGGCTGGGGGATACTGGGGCTGCAGGAAGGCTGTGGGTGCAGGGGAGCTGGGGTCCAGGTGTGTCAGGGCGCAGGGGTGGGCTCGGGGGGATGTGCAGGGCTGTGGGGAGCAGCGGTACGAGGGTGCACCCCTCCCCTCAGGCTGAGGGTGCACTCCCCTCCTCAGGAACTGGGTTACCGAGGGTCGGGGATGCCAGCAGTGACCAGGGCAGGGCTCTGGGATATTCCGGGCTGTCCCGGGGCCCGGCCGCTCGGTGCAGCGGCTCCTCCGGGCCGGCAGGGGGCGCGGCAGCGGGGCGGGGGAGGCGGCGCGCGGGCCCCACCCGGTGCGGCAGCAGGCCCGCGGCGCGCGGACAATACCGGCGGCGGCTCGGCCTCCATCGGCTCCGCTCGGCCCCGATCGGCTCCGCTCGGCTCCACCCCGACTGGCCCCGCCCCGACTCGGCCTCGCTCGGCTCCACTCGGCCTCGCTCGGCCCTGCCCGGCCCGGCCGCGCTCGGCTCGGCTCGGCCCCGCACGGCTCGGCCCGGCCCGGCCCAGCTCCGCTTTGCTCGGCCCGGCCCGGCTCGGCTCCGCTCGGCTCAACTCGGCCCCGCTCAGCGCGGCCCGGCCCGGCCGGCACCATGCTGGCGCTTTTCAACAAGCTGCTGGACTGGTTCCGGGCGCTGTTCTGGAAGGAGGAGATGGAGCTGACCCTGGTGGGGCTGCAGTACTCGGGCAAGACCACCTTCGTCAACGTTATCGCGGTGAGCCTGGGGACGCCCCGCATCGCCCCATCCCCGAGGGGTCACGTGCCCAGCCAGGGCTTCACCCTTGGACCCCCATTGCATCCCAATTGAATCCCATTGTACCCCCATTGCATCCCTATTGCACCCCCATTGCATCCCCATTGTACCCCCGTTATACCCTCATTGTACCCCCATTGCATGTCCCCATTGCATCCCCGCGCCTTCCGTCCCCCATTGCGTCCCCATCGCATCCTAATTGCATCCCAGTTGCACCCCATTGTACCCTCATACATCTCAATTGCACCCCCACTGCACCTCATTGTACCCCCGTTGTATCCCCATTGTAACCCCACTGCATCCCCATTGCATGTCCCCATTGCACCCCTGGGTATTCTCTGAACGTCTCCACCCTATCGCACTCCTGCCTGAAAATGCCTTTAGGGAGGGGGTGCAGGCTGTGGGTGCGGGATGCAGCAGTGGGGTAAAGTGTGGGGCACAGGGTGGGCTGCAGGGTGGGGTACAGCAGTGGGGTACACTGTGGGGTGCAGGGTGGGGCACGCTGTGGGTACAGTATGGGATGCAGTGTGGGTACAGTATGGGATGCAGGGTGCGGGCCCGGGGCAGCCCAGGCCATCCGCAGCGTTCTCTCCCCGCAGCCCCGGAGCCGAGGGGGTGCTCGGTCCGGCTCGGCCCTGCCCTGTGTTCTGGAGCCCCGGCCGTGCTCAGCGGTCGGTGCCGGTGTCGGTGCCCTGTGGGCCGGGCAGTGCCGCCCGGGCACTGCGGGAGCTCCGCTCTCGGTCCCGTAGCAGCGGGCGCTTTGTCATGGGCGCTGCCGCCGCCTCAGGACGGCCCTGCCGCGCTCGGTGATCCTTCCCTTGGGGCCGGTGTGGAGGTGTTTGCCTTCCTTCCTCGGGAAGCACGAGGTGCCTCACTCAGCACCGTGCTGTGGGTGCCGGCTGCACCCGAGCGGGGCAGGGCAGGGCAGCGACGCCGCCTCGGGCCCCTCAGCCCCGGCCTCTCCCCGGCCGCGCTGCCTCATCCGCGGGCTCCTGCATCCAGCGCAGCATCGGGAGCTGCTGTCCTGGATCCCGAGCCCAGGGCGTGGCTTCACCCGTGGGGATGCTCGGCGGGCTCCCCTCCGGCTTTTCGGGTTGTTCTGGGCCTCTCAGTAGTGATGGTGCAGGGCGGGAGGATCCTGAAGGGTGGGTTTGGGCTGTTCATGGAGGGAGGTGGATGCAGATCCGCCCTGGTTCCCCCACTGCCCCCTGGTTGCTCTGAAGTCTGTGCCTGCCATGGCTCCAAAGCAGGGCAAATTCTTGGTGCTTGCTCAGGGTGCTGGAAGCTGCTGGGCTGTTAGAGGGGATTTTCAGCTCATATGGAGGCTTCCCTGCACTGGAGCCATGCTCTTTGGGAGGTGCTGAGGGAGGAAAATGTCCTTCCCGAAGTGTCTAGGGGCAGAGAGAGGACACCCCAAAATGCTTTTCATCCTGGAGATGGTGGCACTCCTGCTCTCTTGCTGGAAGTTGCTTCTCAGTGCTCCAGTCTCCTGCTGGTTCCTCCCATAGACCAACACCAGCATCTGGGGTCAGGGAGCATTTTGCATCTGGGGCAGTGACCCTGAACACCAATCCTATTTTTGTGAGACCTCTCCCTGCCATTTGCATGTTTAATAGTCAATTTTTGCAATCCCATGCCAGGGTGGGACGTGGTGGTGCCACGTGTGAGCTGCTCCTGCTCTTGGTGTGCTGGGTGCTGCTGCCTGTTAACAGCACCCAGGCTACCTTTAAAATGGCCAAGTAATTTAGTGTTGGTTTTAATCACCCAGTTAAGCTGTGAAGGGTGATGGAACTTTATCCCAGAGCTGCTGCACTGTTCTGCCTGCACAGGGCTGGAAACCCCAAGGGTTGGTGTTCCCCACATGCCTCCTCCTCTCCCAGCCACACCTGGAGCAGGCAGGGCTCACCGTGAGCTTTGTGGGGTTTGCTTCTGTGAGTAAATACTTTGTACCTGGCACTTTAACTGTGGGCAAGACCCCACTGGCAGGACCCATGCACTGGGACTCTCTCTGCTTAGCCAGGATTGCTGGTGCAGGGAAAAGGGATTTTGAGGAATTACAGCAGCTCTTGAGGTGGCTGAAGCTGGCACCGTGGCCTGCTGGTGTGTCAGGTCTGTTTTGGGGTTTTTGAGACCCTCACACAGCAGTCAGGCTCAGGGTGCTGAATTTGGCCTCTTAAGTTATTTGGAAAGTTCAAGTTTTGTGGCAGATGCACACAAAAAGGGGCACCAACTTTTGAGAAGACATCCTGGAAAGAAGGACTTGTTGGGCACAGTGAAACAGGAGCATGGCACAGGAAATGCCAGCTCAACAGGAACTGCCTGACAAGGTCTGGAGGTGCCTGGCTTTAGGGTGTTGCAGTAAGGTTGTTGGAAGGGGAAATAGCTGTGATTTGGGCTTTGTGAGGGGATAAAACCTGAACTGGAGAAGTGTGGGATTTTGGGGTGTTGGAGAGATGTCACAAGAAGGGGAGAAGGTCCTTTCTGGGACCAGAGCTGCTCTGGGGGTTGGCACCATCCTTTGCTTGCAGGGTTTGTTGCTGCAGCTGACTGAGGAGTTGATTCTGGTTCCCTGGCAGGTGGGTGGCTCCCTCCTGCAGCCAGGCTGTGCTTGTGCCCCACAAGGGCTTTGCTGAAGGCAGTGGTGATCAGGGTGACTCCTCCTGGGTCACCTGCCTGGGGTGGGAACTTTGATTTTCAGGACTTATTTTTTCTTTTCCTAGCTGTTGATAGCTGAGGCTTGAAGTCTTTCCTGCTGTAGATAAACACCTGGTCTTGATTTACCCTGAAGCCAGTGGGCTTTTAGCTGCCTTTTCTGCAGTCTGGTGGTGCCATGGATGACTCAAGGGTGTTGAGAGCTCCTCAGAGGGTGCTGGGGCCCAAAACCTGTCAGTGCAGGCTGTGGTTAGAACAAGAGAGCATTGCTGCTTTTTAACATCACATGCTTTCTACCTGTGCTGGAGCCTTCCAAGAGAGTGAGGGCACAAGTGCCAGGGTGTTGGGCATGTGGTGGAGGCTCTGGGGCACCATCCTGTGCTCCAGCCCTGCCTGGAAAGTGATTGAGACCAGTGCTGCAAGATGGAACGTGGAGCTCCTGGAGCCAGTTCAGTGGAGACTGTGAAGGTGCTGACAGGACTGGAGCATGTCTCTTATGGGGGCAGGCTGAGGGAGCTGAGGCTGCTGAGCCAAACAGCCAAAAAGAGATGGCTGAGAGGGGCCTTCAGCAGTGTCTGTCAGTGTCTGCAGGGAGGGCTCAGAGGATGTGCCAGGCTCTGCTCCCTGGGGCCCAGCACTGGCACAGGAGGAATGGACAGAAACTGATGCTCAGGCAGTTCCACCTGGACATGAGGCAGAACTTCATCCCTGGACAGTGATGGAGTGATGAACAGGCTCCCAGAGAGGTGTGGAGTCCCCCTCCCTGGAGATATTGCAGAACTGTCTGGGAATGATGTGTCATGTGCTGTGGGATGATTCTGGTTGAGCAGGAAGGTGGGATCACTGTGGTCCTTCCAGTCTGACCCATCCTGTGAAACCACATCAGCCTCGTGTTTGCCTCCAGGTAGGATGTGGATGGTGTCAGAGGATGTGCCAGGCTCTGCTCCCTGGGGCCCAGCACTGGCACAGGAGGAATGGACAGCAATTGATGCCCAGGAAGTTCCACCTGGACATTTGGAAGAACTTTTTTCCTGTGCAGTGATTGTGCACTGAACAGGTGCCCAGAGAGGTGAGGAGCCCCCCTCCCTGGCGACATTCCAGAGCTGTGGGGTGATCCTGGTTGAGCAGGGGGGTTGGATCACTGTGGTCCTTCCAGCCTGACCCATCCTGTGAAACCACATCAGCCTCGTGTTTGGCTCCAGGTGGGATGTGGATGGTGGGGCAGGTGCCAGGTCTCCAGCAGGGATCTCAAGGGAGGCATGGCCTGGGAGTGGCTCAGAGGACTGCAGAGCTCAGCAGCTGCTCCCACCCCTCCTCAGAGAGACACTGACCCCTTGGGCAGCCAGCTGACCCACCTGGGCAGGAGGTGCCCTGGATGAGCCTGGGAGGGAACGTGCAGCTCCAGGTGTGCAAGGTGCCCAGGGTTTGCTGGGGTAGAGCAGAGAGGTGCTGAGGAGGTAGTAGGGAGATGTTGTCCTGATGTATTTGCACCAGTCTGTCCTGTCACCCACCTCTCCCAGGAGCTCTGGGTGTGCCCCACTGGGTGGGAGGTGGCTGTGGGTTCTCATTCTGCCTCAGATGCACACCTGGGCCCTCCACAGGTGTGTCTGTGCTCCTTAGCTTCATAATGCAGAAGGTGTCAGGTTTTCTGGGGGTTCTCCATATTCCTGGAAGAGGAGGAGAATCTGGCTGAGGCATGGTCTTGTCTTGCTGCTGCAAGGTCTGTCAGCATGAGCCAATGAAAATGGGCAGTGGGGCTTTCCTGAGATAGCATCCCAGAGTGGTTTGGGTTTGAAGGGACCTTTAAAGATCACCTTGTCCAACACCCTCACCATTGGCAGGCACATACAGACACCTTCCAGTGGACTGGTTTGCTCCCAGCCCCATCCAGCCTGACCTTGAACATTCCCAGGGATGGGGCAGCCACAGCTTCTCTGGCTAACCTGTGCCAGGGCCTCACCTCAATCATAAAACATTTCTTTTTTATATCTTCTATATATAAATTTCCCTCCTTGTTAGAGCTTGGACAGGGTTTGGCAGGTCCTCAAGTGCCACCTGGCAGGAGTGCCAGGCTGGGCAGTTTTGGGCAGTGATGGGACACACCAGCCAAGGTGCTTTGGGCTCCTGCCTCTGTCCCACAAAGGCCCATACTCTGGTGTTGGAGACACAACTGCAGAGAGCAGGGCTGGGCTTCCAGCACTGCCTTCTCTGCCCTCTGGGGAGCAGGGCTGCAGAGCAGCCTGCAGTGATGCATCTAGAGCAGGTCACATCACTCCAGTGCCATCCTGTGCTGGGACAGGGTGACACCACCGTGAGGATCAGGGTCTGGCAACCTCAGCCCTGTGTGCTGCTCACCAGAGCAGGGGGAGCCTGAGGTGGCTTCTCTGCATGTGCCAGTGAGCCTGCATGTCCCAGGCCCTGTGTGTCAGGAGTGATGGCTGAAGTGGCACGTGTGTATGTGTCAGGATGGGCTCAGCATGACCTGGGGGCACCACTTATAAAAACCCTTCACTTTGCCCTGGCAAAAGCTGAATTCTGGCCACCTCTCCCAGTGACCCAACTGGGGTTGGGCAGAAAGGTCTCTTGCCTTCCAAGGGCACCAAGGCAGAGTGGTTTGGGCAGAGCAGTGGGTGACCCTGGCAAAACCAGCAATGAACTGGAGTCTGCAAAGACCTGATCTGCCATTTGTGGCCACAAAATCCATCTTGCCTCCCAAATTTTTGTGCTTCCCAGTGGAATTGGGTTGGACTTGATCTTGAAGGTCTCTTCCAACCCAGTCATTCTGTGAATTCTCTGTTCTTTAGCAATTGGTGTGGCTTGGCATCATCTTCGGGGTGAGCATGGATGCTATGTCCATTACATAACCAGAATTTGGGGGAAGAATGTGTCCAGTGAAGCTTTTGCTTGTCTCCATCTGGGTGCTCCCTGCTCTCCTGGCAATGGAGCTGTGGATGGCTGGACCCTGCAGGGAGTTGAAAATGTGTTGAAGGCACCAGCATCAGGGGTGGTTGGAGAGGGAAGAGGAAACTCTAGTGTTTTCAGCACTGAGAGCTGATTTCAGAGAGCAGCTGATGCAGGATGAGCTGATGGAGGAGGAGCAAGATGCCTCTGTGGGTGCTGGGACAGCACGTGGGAGCCATGCTGGGGCACAGTGCCTTGCACTCCCTGCTCAGCCTGTTCTGGACAGCTCAGGCAGGTTTGTTGTGGCTCCATGGACAGCCTGGAGGCAGGAGCTGCAGTGGGAGGGGGGTCTGGGGCAGGAGCAGGGCTGTGCTCACTCACACAGACATGCTCTGTCCCACTTGTGGAGGAAGGAAGAGGTGATTCCTGGCTCCTGCAGCTCACCCCTTCCTGGAAGAAACTTCTGTCACATGGGAACCTTATCTGGTGTGGCTTTTGCACAGCCAGCAGATGCCATGATGTGTCTGCAGTCCCTGAGGGAAGTGTCTGCAGCTTCTAAGAGCTCTTCAGCAACTGCTCTCTGTGCCCACTGATCAAAGCCTGAAAATTCTTTAATTTCACAGAGCTCAGCTGTGTGTTAAACCTCAGCCCATAGCAGATGTGCCCTGTGGATCCCTGCCTGCCTCCCCTCCTCTCCCCATGCCCTTCCTCACAGTTCTGTGTGGGTGCAGCATGGCCTGAGCACCCCTTGGCTGCTGGCTTGTGCTGCTGAATGCAAAAGGGATGTGAAAAGGGGAAGCAGGGGGTATTGCAGAGCCTTTGGAACAGCTCAGGAAATCCCTGAGGACTTGCTGATGTGGTGCATCTGGAGGAGCCACAGGCTCAGCCAGGCACAAAAATCTGTTTATGCCAAAATAGCATAAACTGACTTCCTGTTTGAGGTTTGTGTTAACTAAGACAAAAGCCCTCAAGAAACTGAGGATTTTAAGGCAGTAAAGACCTGCTAGGATGAGTTTGGCCATGGTTGGTGGTTCCTGCAGGTTTCTGGCACTGATGGCTGAAATCCCCAGGGCTGCACTATCCTGGCCGTTAAACATCCTGCCCTCCTGGCTCCTCAGCATTCCCCAACATCCCCCAGGATGCATTTACAGGCCATAATTCTGCTTTGAGGTGAAGGGCTGCGCCAGCTCCTGTCTCCTGCCCCGGAGCTGCCCCGTCCCTGCCTGTGATGTCCCTCTGTGCTGCTGCACCTGGGCCCATCCTGCACCCTTGGGATTTGAGCAGCACACTGGGGTGGGCTTTGCCAGACTGTCAGAGATGAGTGATGAGATTGTTGGCTCTCTATGAAGGATGAACCTTCTGTGTGTGTTAAGAGAAGTTTTGTAGATGCAGAGTTGAGTTACTGTGATGTGTCCTCCCTCTCATTGTTATTATGGGATGGCCTTGGTGCTCAGGGCATTGGGAGGGTTGGCTCGTTACTATGGCAACACCTGAGCTCCACCCAAGGTGTGAGAAAGTGACAGCACTTTAAGGGGGTCTGGAGATATAAAAGGGGGAGCATCCATTTTGAAGATAAGCACATGGCTGATAGTCACAGGGGCTCTGAGCACTGTAATTTTTCCTTATTTAGTCCTTTTGTTGTATTTTTGTACAGATTTTATAAACCTTTAACATTTTAAAAGTGAGGGTTGTTTCTCACAGGACCCCTTGGTGCGTGCTGGGCACGGGGCTGGTGAGCCAGCACCAGCAGAGGGATGGCTCCCGCTCACTGCTCCAGCAAGCCTGACCTGTTCCACAGCAGGCTGGGCTGCTGCAGCCCCACAGGGATCTCATCATCTGCTGCATAAACTCAGCAGACACTGGAGCTGCACTGCAGCAGCTCTGGGGGCCCTTTGTGATCCCCAAGTGACCCAGCACAGGCAGGGTGCAGAACTGGGGGAGCAGTGCAGACAGCTCTCACTTGAAAGCAGAAGTCAGTCTGGTTTGAGCTGGGCCATGGATGATCCAAAGCAGAAACATGAACCATGCTGGTGCCCCCAGGACCTGCAGCTGGAGAGGAGCTGGGGCAGGAGGAGCCTCCCTGGGTGGGGAGCCCAGCCTGAAACCCCAGGGCTGTCTCACCAGAGGTCCCTGCAGAGGAGCAAGGTCTCAGCCTCTTCCACAGAGGGTTTGAGCGAGCTGGGATGGGCAATGCCCCAGCCCATGGGGACAGCAGTGAGTCCAGGGATGGGGGTGGCAGCTGGCTGCAGGGCTGGGGCTGCACTGGGGCACCCAGGGCACCTGTGCCCATTGCAGCAGCCACAGTGTGTGGTTTAGGAATGGCATTCCCCAGTTTGGTATTCCCCAGTTTGGTGCTCCCACTCCTGTTAGGTGTTGGCTGCCTCTTGCTCCCCCTTCCCCTCCAGCTGGAAGCACAAAAGGCAAAGGTGATGGGTTGAGATAAGAACAATTTACTAGAAACAGCAACAAGATACTGAGAGCAACACTGCTAATAAGAATAGTGTACAAAGGGTGATTTACATGCAAAATGCTCAGCAAGCCTGGCACAATGACACAATGGCTTCCCTCTGCCCACCAGGCTTTCTCCCAGCTGGAAAAGAGCAGCACTCCCATGGTCCAGGTGGAACCTTGTCTCCTGGGCTCTGTGCTCCTGGCATGGACCTGCAGGAGGGCAAAGCCTTGGGGTTATCCCAGGCTGTCAGCCTTGCTGCCCTGGCCCCATCCTCCACCTCCTAATGCTGTCCCCCCTTGTTCTTGCAGTCAGGACAGTTCAATGAGGACATGATCCCAACAGTGGGCTTCAACATGAGGAAGATCACCAAAGGGAATGTCACCATAAAGGTAAGATTGTAGTTACTGCTTGTGAGGGCTCTTGGGATGAAGGGTGGAGGTGAAGATTGGTGATTCTTCTTCTGAAGGTGGAAGAATTCCAGGGATCCCAGCTGCAGCTCACAGAATAGAAGCATGGCAGAATTAAGGGTGCAAAGTCCCTTTAAGATCAAGTCCAACCAGGAGTACCATGTTCACCACTAAACTGTGTGTCCAAGTGCCACATCCAGGTGTTTTGTTAACATTTCCAGGGATTGTGATTCCACCACCTGGAAGTGAAAGATTTGCCCTGTTAGGGTTGCAGGTGCCCACCAGAGGAGGTGGTGGGAAGGGCTGTAGGAGATCCAGACTTGTGCAATGAGAGCCAGTGGAGGTTTCCTTGTATCTCTGGCTTGCTGGTAGCAACTTGTGGATGTGGTCACCTTGCTGAGGGTGGCAGTGCTGGGAAAAACAAGTCATGGCCTGCAGTGGTGGTCTCTGCCTTGGGAGCAGAGGAAGAGGAGGGTTCCACCTGGATTTTTCAAGGGGTGGGGTTGTACTGGGAAATAGCTGTTGGACAGGCTTGAAAAGCTGGCTGGGGGACCTCTGGCTGCTGTAGGAACACTTTTGAGTGTGTTGAATGTTCTTAAATGGGGAATGGCAGCAGGTGTGATGGGCATGGGGGGGAGGTGGGCCAGGGGTCCCTCTGTGCCAGCTGAGGCACCCACAGGGGGTTCAGCATCCTCCAGCTCCCCTGCCTGAGGGTTCTCTCCCTTCTTTATCAGGTCAGGAGCCTTCTCTGAGGTTTGGGCTGAAGAGGAGAGGATGGGGTGGGGTTGGTGCATGGCCAGAATGCCCCAGGTGGGGGAGGAAGGGTGTAGGGTGCCAGGGTAACAGTGCCAGGGTAACAGTGCCCTGTCCCTGTCACAGCTCTGGGACATCGGGGGACAGCCGCGGTTCCGCAGCATGTGGGAGCGGTACTGCCGTGGAGTGAGTGCCATTGTGTGAGTATCCTGAGTCCTGCTGTGTCCCCCTGCCATGGTGTGAGTGTCCTGAGCCCTGCTACGTCCCCCTGCCATCCTCTGAGTGTCCCTGAGTCCTGCTGTCACCCCCTGCCCCCATGCCATGATGTGAGTATCCTGAGCCCTGCTGTCACCCTCTGCCATGGTGTGAGTGTCCTGAGCCCTGCTGTCATCCCTGTCATTGTGTCAGTGTCCCTGAGCCCTGCTGGCACCCTGTGCCATGGTGTGAGTGTCCCTGAGCCCTGCTGTCACCCCCTGCTGCTGCTGCTGAGCCTTGCCAGGGGCTGGGGGCATCACCCCACCCTGTGTTGCTGGAGTGCCTTTGCTGCCCCAGCTGGACACCAGTGTCAGGAGCTGGAATCACTGAATCATCACTGAGTCATGAAGGTTGGAAAAGGCCTCTGAGATCATTAAGTCCAACCATTAACCCAACACCACCATATTTATCCCCAAATGTTTATTGAATACCTCTAGGGATAGTGACTCTACCACTGCCCTGAGCAGCCTGTGCCAGGGTCTGGCCACCCTTCTAGGGGAGAATTTTCCCTAATACCCAACCCAAACCTCCCCTGGTCCAACTTCAGGCCATTTCTTGTGGTTCTGTTGCTTGTCTCCTGGGAGGAGAGCCTGACCCCCACCTGGCTGCACCCTCCTGTCAGGGAATTGGAGAAACAAAGGGTCCCCCTGAGCCTCCTTACTTCCAGATAGTTCCCCTGGGGACTGATGTGTACATGGGCTCTACACAGGTCCCTGCAGCTGTGCCAGACCCTCCTCTTCCCTTGCAGCATCCCTCAGTCCAGCTCTGTTCCTCAGAGCTCCCCTTTCCAGGCTCCCATGCATCCTCTGTGCTGGCTGCTCACACAGGGGCTCAGCCCTTCCCCCAGGAGAGGCTGCTTTCCAGCTCAGGATGTTCATGTGCTGCCAGATTAATCTTGTGCTGAGAGCAGGAGTCTCACCTGCTCCTGAGTCAGCAAACCTGAGTGTCCCTGGCTGTCCCCTGCTTGCAAACAGTGCAGGAAAAGCAATGCCAGGAGTCCAGGCTGGGGGTGAGCAGGGCAAGGCACTCATGGGAAGCAGCTTGCCTGTTCCAAAGGACAGATACTGATCTTGGGACACCATACTGGGGTTACCTAAACCCAGACAGAAAATAAGATTTATGGGATCTTTCCCAAGTGACCATCCCCTGAGATTTGGAGGGCTGCTTTCTGTGCTGCCCTTCCCAATTCTAAACCTTAGCAGGTGAGGAGGAGTGTGGTACTGCTTGTTCTGCACTTTGGGACATGGCCTTGGACCTGCAGAGTGTTTTTATTACACTTTTTATTACAATGAGCTTTGCTGGAAATGACAAAATCTCTGTCCTTTCACCCCTTCTGCTGCCTCCTTCCATAATGTCATCATTTTGTGGTTGTCAGGAAACAAAAGGACCTGTCAGCATCCAGGTCACACTCCAGTCTGCCCTCATCATCACATCAAGCTGGGTCAGGTGCCTTTCCCTTTGCTCTCAGCTCCCCCATGTGCACAACATGCCAAGGGCTGGGGCAGTCCCTGGGGGTGTTTTTCCCTCTTGGCACAGGTTCCCATTTTCCTGTGTTAAGCACTTTAGTAGTTAGGGCTTTTCCTATTTTCTTATTTTTAAATAATTTTTAAAAGTTTTCTATTAATTAATTTGGAGGTTGAGCAAAAGTGAACTGAGCTGTCTTAGGGTTTTTACAAACTAGCTAGGATTTATCTCTGCCTCTAGAACTTCCTAGCAAAGGACATTGTTGTGGAATGTATTCCTATTTTTCCTATTTTTAAATAACTCCCCAAAGCCTGATGAGCTGGTGTTTCTCACTCCTTCTCTCCCAGCTTCTTGATCTTTGAATTCAAGGCTGCTTTGATCAGTTCCTCACCCAAGTTTTGGCTTCACTGACATCATGTGTAGGATGAAAATTGGCCTTTAAGAACAAAATCCTCTCCCAAATCTCCTGTTCTGCTCAGAGAAGCATTGGTGGCCACCAGCTTCACATCCACATGCTCCATGGCCCCTCCCAAGATTACCCCATCAATGGGATGTGGATGTCCTTCCCCTTCTTGGATCATCATCACCTCTGCATCCTCAGCTTCTTTTGTCTGCTCCGCTTGCCCTGGGTGTTTACATGGCAGCTCCATGTGCATGTTGGACACAAAGTGTGTCCTGCAGCTCCTGCCTGGCCTTCCCTCACCCACCCTGTCACTGCTGTGACAGCTGCAGAGACAAGGATGAGCTGCTCTCCCCCTCCCCTGGGAGACATGAGGGGCTCTCAGCTCCACAGCCATCCTTGGGAAGAGGTGAAGAGGTGGAAGGATCCTGTTATCAACTCCCTCCACGTGCTGGCTCCCCTCTTGGCACACATTCCCATTTTCCTGTGTTAAGCACTTTAGTAGTTAGTAGCTCTTCTCCTATTTTTCAATAACTCCCCAAAGCCTGATGAGCTGGTGTTTCTCACCCTTCTCTCCCAGCTTCTTGATCTTTGAAATCAGGACTGCTTTGATCAATTCCTCACCCAAGTTTTGGCTTCACTGACATCATGTGCAGGATAAATTTGGCCTTTCAAAAGAAAATCCTTTGCCAAATCTCCCCTTCTGCTCATAGAAGCATTGGTGGCCACCAGCTTCACATCCTCGTGCTCCATGGTCCCTCCCAAGATTCCCTTCCATAATGTCAGAATTTTGGCCCATGTAGTTGTCAGGAAACCAAAGGACCTGTCAGCATCCAGGGTCACACTCCAGCCTGCCCTTGTCACATCGAGCTGGGTCAGGTTCCTTTGCTCTCAGCCTCCCCTGTGCCCATCCATCAATGGATGAGGATGTCCTTCCCCTTCTTGGGTCATCATCACCTCTACATCCTCAGCTTCTTTTGTCTGCTCCGCTTGCCCTGGGTGTTTACATGGCAGCTCCATGTGCATGGTGGACACAAAGTGTGTCCTGCAGCTCCTGCCTGGCCTTCCCTCACCCACCCTGTCACCTGCAGAGACAAGGATGAGGTGCTCCCCCACTCCCCTGGGAGACATGAGGGGCTCTCAGCTCCACAGCCATCCTTGGGAAGAGGTGGAAGGATCCTGTTATCAACCCCCTCCACATGCTGGCCCAATTCTCAGTGAGCTGCTGTGGGAGGAGGTTTGGGGTGGCACAGACACACCATGAGACCATGGAGACGTGGGCACCTGTGCTCAGGGCTGTCCCTTCCCTTGCAGGTACATGGTGGATGCTGCTGACCAGGAGAAGATAGAGGCCTCTAAGAACGAGCTGCACAACCTGCTGGACAAGCCCCAGCTGCAGGGCATCCCGGTGAGCCTCACTCCTGCTGCCCAGGCTGGCACTGCCAGGGCCTGCAGAGCACAGTCAGGGAGGGCTCCCCTTCCTTGGAGCCATCACCTCCCTGCTGCACTCTGAGGGACCAGCTGGGACAGTGACACTTCCTAGGGCAGAACTGGGCCAGGCAACACAGAGGGAACTTGGGGGCAGAGAGCACAGATCAGGCCCCCTGGGTGAAATCTCCTCTCACACGGATTTGCACTGATTTGTGCTGTGACAGGAAGGTGCTCTCTCCTGTGAGAGGGGCTGCTGGGCTGGGACACGTGCAGGAGGTGGGACATGGGGCTGGGACAGGTGCAGGAGGTGGGACATGTCACAGGTGTGCTGTACCTGTGTGTTGCAGCCTGAATTGCTGCTTGTAAAGTTCAGGGTAAAGAAGCAAAAAGGGCCTTTGAATAATATCCACAGATGTTTAATTCAGCTGCACAGTGAGGTGTTCAGGTCCCAGCACACACACCTGGAGAGTTCTGCTTTCTCCAGGGGCCTGGGCACTGACCCTGGTCTTGGGCAGTACAAAGGTGTCTTGGTTTGGAAAGCCAGGAATCTGCTAAGGAAGGCAGGAGCCTCCCCTGAAATGGAGAATGTAAACCCTCCCCACCCCTCTGAATTGCTATAAATTTTAAATTAAGGGGCTCTCAGGCAAAAAATATGGGAGCAGGAAATAACAGTTCTTTAATAGGGAAGAAAATAAAAGGATAAAATAAACAATGCAGTACACTAGAACAACACTGACAGAGTCAGAACACAGCCTGACACCCTGTGGGTCAGGGTGTTGGCAGCAGTCCCATTGGAATTGTGGCTCAGCCCTCCTGCAGTGTCAGGGCTGGTTCTGCTGGAGCAGGGATCCTGGAGAAAGGTGCAGTCTCTGCCTCTGAAGATGCAGTGGAAGAAGAGGCAGCTACTGTTCCTGTGGGCAATCCAGTGGAGAAGCTGTGCTGGTGTTCCAGAATCTCCAGATTATATCCGGGTAGGAATGCTTGGCTCCTCCCTCTGGGCTCACATCTCCCAATGGGATGCTGTAGTTCTTATCAGCCAGGCAGGCACATTCAATGGCTGTTATCAGCAGCCCTCCCAAAGAAGCTGTGATTGTGATCACTCAAAGAGAGATAAGGCAAACTGCCCACTTGACAAAAGATAATCTGCCATACAGATGGTAACAGAAAACATCTTGCATTGCAGTCTGGAACAAAAGGTGAGGGCCAGTCAGGGAATAGGGACGGTGTGCCTCAGGAACATAGGAACAGACATTGGAACAGGGGAAGGAGCCAATGGGGTCTAACAGCTTTTTGAGGGAAGCTTCTTGTGTCTCCCCAGACCAGGGAATGCTCTCCAGGGTCTCCACACCTGTGGGATGGTTGTGCACCATCCATCCATTCATCCCGAATCAGCATCCTTTGGAAGGAGCTAACTGAAGACTTGCCATGGATCCCAAAAGTCCCTGCTAGCTAAATTCAGCTCCTGGCACACCAGGCTGCAGTCCCAGGCCTCTGGAGGCTCTGCTCTGAGAGAGGCTCCTGATTGGAACCGGGCTGGGGGAGATGCTCACCCTGAGCTGCTGCAGAGCCCAGTGCAGGATGGCACTGCCCCATTAGGTGACAGCCACATGTGGCTGCTCCGGGGGACACACCAGTGATGGCACAAACAGCTGGGTCTGCTTTGGGCTGCCTGCCTGCACTGTGGGGTCTGCCCAGCACCCAGGGCTGGCTGCTGCTGCATGGAGTCAGTGTCAGACACTTCACTTTCTGCTCAGAGACAGGAGAGGCTCCTGGAGGGTGTCCTGGTGCCACAGCAGATGCTGCAGAGAGGATGAGCTGTGGTATGACCCTGTTCACAGGGGTCTGAGGATGAGGGAAGAGATGAGGATCTGACTCCATGTTTTAGAAGGCTTGATTTATTGTTTTATGATAGATATTACATTAAAACTATACTAAAAGAATAGAAGAAAGGACTTCATCAGAATGGTAGCTAAGAATAGAAAAAGAAAGAATGAATAACCAAGGCTTGTGGCTTGGACTCTCTGTCTGAGCCAGCTGACTGTGATTGGTCATTAATTAGAAACAACCACATGAGATCAATCACAGATGCACCTGTTGCATTCCACAGCAGCAGATAACCATTGTTTACATTTTGTTCCTGAGGCTTCTCAGCTTCTCAGGAGGAAAAATCCCAAGGAAAGGATTTTTCGTAAAAGATGTCCGTGACACTGGGAGCAGGGAGTGCCCAGGAGATGCTGTGCAGGGCTAATTAAGGCAGTTAATTGAAGTGCTCTGCCTCCTGAGTGCTGCTGAAGGGGTTTCTCGGCCTGGGACATCCCAGTGGAGCAGCCAGGGCTGTGTGGTGGCACAAGCAGGTCCCTGCCTGGTCTGGTGGCTTCAGGTGTCTCCTGTCCTGCCCTGCAGGTCCTGGTCCTGGGGAACAAGAGGGACCTGCCCGGTGCCTTGGATGAGAAGGAGCTCATTGAGAAGATGTAAGTGTGCCAGTGTCCCCTGGGGGTGTGACACAGTGTGCCAGTGTCCCCCTGGGGCACAGGTGGGTGACACAGTGTCCCCCCTGGGGCACAGGTGGGTGACACAGTGTCCCCCCTGGGGCACAGGGATGTGACACAGTGTGACCCCTCCCCATTCTGCCGTGTCCCCCCAGAACAGTTGCCCATCTGGGGTGGCACCGTGATGCCTGGGGTGGCACTGAGGGCCTGGGGTGGCACTGTGGGCTGGGGTGGCTGGCAGACACGAGTGGCTGAGGATGATGTCTGAGGTGACACCTTGTGGAGACACAGAGGAGCTGGAGGCAGCAGTGCCAGGGCTGGTGCCACACGGTGGCGTGGGGGCCTGGCACAGCGTGGCACTGCCTGCTGGAGCTGGTGTGCCCCAGATACTGCCCTGAGAGCAGGACTGGGCTCCTCCACAGGGGGAAATCCTGGGTGCTGCACTGACTCCCTGCATTTCCTGCCCTTCAGCCACCTCCCAGAGCACCTCTGGACCTGGGCTGCTATTGCTGCTTCTGTGCAGCTGCCATTGCTGCTCCTGTGCAGCTGCCATGCTGCCAGCCCTCCCAAAACCTCCCTGCCCATCTGCAGGGCTGCAGGGCTGGGGGGACATGTGGAATTTGGTGGTTGGGGTCCCCATGGGGTCGGGTCCCTCCTGCCCTGTCACACAGCCCCCCCAGAACACCCCCAGGCACAGAGCCATGGTGCCTGACCCACACACAGCTCCTGGAGAGGTGCTGCCCCTGTCTCAGAGCCCTGAGAGACCCTTCAGGGGCTGCCCAGGGTCTCTGCCATGGCCACCCCACCCAGCCCAGAGTGTGCAGCCAGACCTGCTCCCTCCCCCAGGAACCTCTCTGCCATCCAGGACCGAGAGATCTGTTGCTATTCCATCTCCTGCAAAGAAAAGGACAACATTGGTGAGTGCTGTGGGCACGGGGGGTGTTAGCTGGGTACAGGGGGAGGGTTCAGCCAGAGGCAGAGTCTCTGAGTGTCCCCTTGCCTCTGCAGACATCACCCTACAGTGGCTTATCCAGCACTCGAAGTCCAGGCGGAGCTGAGGGCCCTGGCTGGATGGAAGCTGCCGTTGTCCCAGCCCATCCCCTCCCTCCTGCTCTGTCCCTCCAGCTCTCTCTCTAGATGGGTATTTTTAGGGGACCCCAGGCTCTGCTGACATTGGGGCAGAGTCCTTGTTTTTATTGTAAAGAAGATGTCTGACTGCCCCCCTGTCCCCTGTCCTCTCCTGCCCTCTCTTCCTCCATTTTGGCACTGTTCTGTTGTTGTCTGTGTATACAGTATATATATATGTATATATATTTTAATTTTTTAATTTAAGGGATAGTGCTGTTATTAAATTGGGCCCTGTGAGCAGTAGGAAAGCTGGGGCTCCCCAAGGCCAGCCAGGGGTCAGCGTTGGGAGGAGGAGGAGGGTGGTAGCAGAAGCAGCCCTTGGGGATGGGGCTGTGCCAGCTGCAGGCTGGTCCCTGGGGCTCCCCTTCCCCTTCTCTGGGTGTCCTGCTGCTGCCTCCAGGCAGGGACCACCCTGGGGGTGTTGGGGGTGCCCACCTTGCCCTGCCTGCCTCGGGTTTGGGGTGTGGTGTGTCAATGCCACCTGCAGGCTCCTCACCCCTCTGGAGGACAGGGATTGGTCACAAGCCACTGCCATCAGCCTCCCCCTGCTGCCTCCACTTCCCCAAGCCCTCTTTGGGGTCCAGGGCCACTTGTCCCCCTGCCCCACGTGTCCCCTGCTCTTGTGCCTGGCCAACTCCTGCCCAGTGCCCAGCCTGGCTGCTGGGGGATGATCTGGGCACTAGTGCCAGTGCTGGGGGCCCAGCAGTGCCAGCAGCCCCGGGGGAGCTGGGGCTGGCACCTGCCTCCCACCTGTCCCCTGTAACCTCCCAGGAGAGCTGAGCTGGCTCCCCACGTGCCAAGGGGCATCACCTGTGCCCAACTGGGGCTGCTGGCTATGCCCTGGCCAGGCACATCCCTTGGGATGCCAGGGACGGAGGGAGGGACACGTGGAGGCACCTGGAGAGATGTTCAGAAATATCTGTGCACCCTCAGTGCACAGGGGTGTGCTCTGTGCCTGCTCCCCATGCCCTGCTACCCATTCCCTGCTCCCCATGCCCCATTCCCCATGTTTGCTCCACATTCCTACTCCCTGTGCTCTGCTGTCTGTGCCTGCTCCCCATTCCCTGCTCCCTATGCCCCACTTCCCCTTTCCTGCTCCCCATTCTCCACTCCCCATTCCCCACTCCTCATTCCCCTCTCTCCATTCCCCACTCCCCATTCCCCCCATCCCATTCCCTGTTCCGTGCTCCCCATTCCCCACTCCCCATCCCCCATTCCTCCCTCCCCATTCCCCATTCCCCTCTCCCCACTCCCCATTCCCCTCTCCCCACTCCCCACTCCTCCCTCCCCATTCCCCTCTCCCCATGCCCCCTGCCCATGCCCCCCCTGCTCTGCTGCCCTGGCTGGGGGGCACAGGAGCTGTGGGGCAGGGCCAGCAGGGCTTGTGGGGACAGTGGTCAGGTCTGTGTGTGCACAGGGGGTGACAAAGGCTGTGCCATGTCTGCCACGGGCTGGGGCCTGGCCAGGTTGTTTGGGGCCAGTCTGGGGCACTGGGCTGGCACTGGAGCTGGGTGAGCAGGGGAGGCAGTGCTGGTGCCAGTGCAGGGCTGGGGCACAGAGTGGGGGCCCTGCAGCCCCCCAGCCCCTTCCCACTGGGCTCCAGGGTGTCAGGCTGGGAATTTACCTTCTGTTCTTGTTTTTGCAGAATTGCACAAAGAGAGGTTTCTTTTTTTTTTTTTTTTTTTTTTTTTAATTTAACGACTTGTAAAGTGTTGTCTCTCCCCAACCCTCCCTTTTTTTTTTTTTTTGTAAGAGATATTTTGACTCAGATTTGACCTCTGTTGGGAAATGATTCTTGTAACTGTACAATTTTTTTGCCTCCTAATAATAAATTAACAATTTTGCGTTGCGGCTGTTGTTGCTGCCACGTTACTTCCTCCCCATCTGTGCCACCCGTCCTTGGGGGCCCTGCCTGGGAGGGAGGTCCCTGTCCCCTAGGTGGCACTGGGCACTGTGTGGCCACTGAGGAGGCACCTGTGATGGTGTCAGATCCTTGTTTCCTTGGCCTGGGTGCCAACACCAGCTTGGGCACTCCATCCATGGAGCTTCCTCTGGACCTGCTGTGTTCCAGAGCTGCTGCAGTGCTCCTGTCTCTCTCCCTGCTCCCTCTGGGGGCTGCTCCCACTGCTGCAGGGCTGCTGTGTCCTTAGGAGGTGCCTCCACGTCCCCAGGAGGGGGTGACCATCGCTGCTGGGGTCCTGGGGTGGCCCTGCCCTGCCCTGTCAGCTGCCCCAGGGTGGGAGCAGGGCTGGCCTGGGGGTGCTGCCACAGGCACGGTGCCAGTGCTGCCCGCACCTCCTGCCCCTCCCCACGCCTGCAGCACAAGCCTGGCTTTGTTCACGCTTGGCCCAGGCTCAGGAGGAGCCATGTGGAGCAGGCACATGAGAGGTGCCCACCCCAGCAGCCCAGAGCCCCCAGACCCTCCCGGGACCCCGCTGACCCCATGGGCACTCCAAAGGTACGGCCTGGGTATGAGCCCCCTGCATCCCTGGGCCGAGATGAGACCCCTCCTCTCCCAAACCGTGGGGCCCAGCACGGGCTCGCAGCAAGGAGGATGAAAGGAAAAACCCAGTTTTGTGCTCTCAAAAGAAAACTGGGCCTTTTGTTTCCCTGGAAACGGCTCTGCGAAAGCGAAGCGCGCGCGGGGCCGGTGGGTGTTGCGCACAAAGCCCGCACTGAGCCCCTGCCTTTCACTGCCCCTGGCAACCGGCTCCTTCTCGCTGGCACTCCGGGGCTGGGTGGCTGCCAGCCCCCGGGACAAGGAGCTCTAACAGCTCCGGTGGACGGGGCTGCGTGGCCAGGCTGCCCTCGGGCAGATCCGTCCCGCCTGCTCCTGACCCCCCTGCTCCCTGACCCCCCTGCCCTGCTGGAACATGTGGGCTTGGAAACCCTTGGTGCCCTGAAACCGCCCTCCTGGGACAGTTCTGTGCCTGCAATGGGCACGGGGAGGAGGGCCAGGAGCCTGTGGGGCAGTTTGGGGAGATGATCTCACCCCAAGCGGTGCTGGGGGTGGTGGTCCCACATCTTGCAGCACTGCACAGCAGCACCTTGGTTGTGCATAGTGCACGTGGGGAACCAGGCTGGGGGCTACCTCAGCACTGTGCTGGGCTGGCTGGACTTTACTGTGACCTGTTCCGGTCCTACAAATGGCCCCAAACCCAACACTTCAGAGGGCACCCTCTCACTCTCAGCATCACCCCAGACAGAGGCAGCAAAGGGGCCGGGGGCCTTTCCCCATCTCCCCTGGCTGCTCCCTGCCCCCCAGCTGCCCATGCCCACCCCAGAGCCCCCCAGGTTTAGGGAAGAGCCATTCCAGGGCCTCCCAGGGCTCAGCCCAGCAGTGCCAGCGGCTGCAATCACGACGTGCTCTAGGTTACTGGTTTATTGAGCTCATACAGGGCACGGCTTGGATCCGTGGGATACGACCAGTTGGACCTTTTCCTCTTGTGGAGGGGCTGGCAGGAGGGGAGGGGACAGGAGGAGGGCAGTTTGTGTTTGCTGTGTCCTCTGGGAGCCATCATGGTCAGCCTCTGTAGTTTCAGGTGAGACCTTTCCGGCACGACGCCATCTCCAGAGCAGAGCCCTGGGGAGCCCGGCCAGGCAGCCGGGACAGGAGGGTGCTGCTGTCCTCACTGACCTCTGGGCAGAGGCAAGAGGGTCACCAGGGTAGCCACGGGGACTGGCATTTCAATCCCACCTGCCCCATGCTGGCTTTGAAGCCCACGGCGCAGCCCCCTGAGCCGTCTCTCTCTTGTTCCACGTCCAGACACGAGTACTAATGGCAGAACAAGGTTTGGTCTTGGGAGGAGGTGGTGAAACGATCGCTACGGCTCCCTGGTGGCACTTTAGCATGGCGTGCCCAAGGCCAGGAGGGGCGGGGGGGTCTCCCGGGGCTTGTCGAAGAAGATGGAGGAGGACATCTCTGTTTTGAGCTTGCTGTCGGCGCTGCTCTCGCTGGAGGAGCCGTCGGGGCCGCAGCCCTCGCAGCAGCAGCAGCAGCAGTCCATGAAGGCCTGGCCCAGGGGACGGCAGAGACACAGGAGCAGCACGGGCGTCACGGAGCACTTGAAGAACAGGAAGAACTGGTTGATGAGGTTGAGCAGGTCCAAGGTCTGCTTGGACACGTCGGGGGACATGTAGGCCACCACGATGTTGCAGACGTTCTCGGGGGTGGTGCAGAGCCCATAGATGACGGTCAGGGCGATGATGGTGCAGTTGAGGTGGCCCTCGGCCTGGCCCTGCTTGGCGCCCCGGCTCTCGCTCTTCTTGTCGGGGCCGCGCACGCGCCGCGTCACCAGCTGGCAGCTGACGGTGAAGAGCACGGGCAGGCAGAAGTAGCAGCCGAAGTACCACCACATGCGGGCGTTCTGGTAGGTGAGCACCAGCGAGTAGATGGACTCAGGCAGGTTGGACGAAGGTTTCATGGTGCAGAACTCGCTCATCACGCCGGACACGGGCGACGTGTCCCGTGCCAGCTGCCAGAGCAGGATCTCGGGCACCGAGAGCGTCATGGAGCCCACCCAGATGACGGCCAGCTTGGCGATGATGGACTGGCACTGCTCGATGGGCCGCGTGCTGGCCTGGGGGCTGGTGGCTGCGTGGAACCTGTCGATGCCCAGGGCACACAGGCTGAACGTGGTGACCCCCAGCGACGAGACCTGGTGAGGGAGGAGGCACAACAGGGACATCACAGGGGGCTTGGCTCTGCCAGGCTGCGGGCAAACCCCTGGCAGAGACCAGAATGTTGACTCCATGTTTCAGAAAGCTTGATTTATGATATATATGTTATATAATATATACAATTAGTATTGATTATAATGCATATTATATATATAACTTATATAATACATTATTCATTAATATAATAAATATATACAATTATTGAATAGAATTTTAATATAATACTATGTACTAATTATTATATTATAATATATATTAACTTTCAATATAATATTATATATTATATTACTATTATTATATTAATATGCTTTATAATATATAGTATAATAATAAATATAATGTATATAATATATCATATACTATAATATATATTATATATTATATGTTATATGTTATATATAAATTATATTGAAACTATACTAAAAGAATAGAAGAAAGGATTTCATCAGAAGGCAAGCTAAGAATAGAAAAGGAATGATAACAAAGGCTTGTGGCTGACCAAGACAGTTCAAGCCAACTGGGCTGTGATTGGCCATTAATTAGAAACAACCAACATGGACCAATCACAGATGCACCTGTTGCATTCCACAGCAGCAGATAATCAATGTTTACATTTTGTTCCTGAGGCCTCTCAGCTTCTCAGGAGGAAAAATCCTAAGGAAAGGGTTTTTCATGAAACATGTCTGTGACACCTGGCTACCTAAGACCACCACCGCTCCTCCAAAGGCTGTAGGGAGGTCGCAGCCTGTGGCTGCATCCCAGGGTTTGGAGCCACTTTTCTGTGACTCCTGAAAGGATAAAAATGTCCCCTGCCCCTGTAGTCCCTGCCCAGCTCCCTTTTCTGCAGAAGGGAGAAGTTTAGCTGGATGTCTGTCTGTCTGTCCATCCAGCCAAGGTGGGAACAGCAGGGTTGTCCTTCAGGCTCTTCCTTCCCCAGTTCTGGATGGCTCTTGCAGAGCAGGGCCCATCACACCCAGCAGCCCCAGGGCTCCCAGGGTTCCCAGGTTCCCAAGGCCTGCCTGGACAGGCCAAGCGAGTTGAAGGCACCCTTGTCCCAAATCAGCTTGGGGCAATTTCCGCTGCATTGAGAATAGCAAGAAAAACATCCCCTCTGCCAGAGGAGGAGGCCAGGGCAGGGAGAGGATTCGCTGTGGCCAGCACTGACCAGCACTCCCAGCCCCAGAGTGGGAGCCAAGTCCCACAGCCCTTGGCCAGGACGATGGCAGAGTCACATGCTGGCGTCCCAGTGCTGGGGCCGTTCCTGGCCTCACGAAGCCATCAAACATCAAACCCGTGCTGAAAGACCTTCCCAGCACCCAGGAAACCTCCCAGGGCTCCACGTGGTGCCCTGGAACAGCCTGGAACAGCCTGGAACACTGCCCCCCCTGACCCCCCAGCCTTTTCCTTGGCCCTGGGCTGGGCACTGCAGCAGCTGATGGCCACAGTGATGCCAGCACTCAGCAGCACATTCAGTTATGCACAGCAGCATCTCCCCAGACACAGAATCGGGACACCAGCCCAGCACCAGCATCCTGCACCCAGCACCATCTCCTAGCATGTCCCAGCTCTGCCCAAAGCCCAGAGCCAGCCCCCAGCACACTGCACCTGCACCCTGGCTGGCACCTGCAGCCTTTGGTGCTGCTGTGCTGCTGCGTCCTCCCCTTACACCCTTCCAGGGCTCTTCCATGTCTCCTGGTGCCCTTGGTCCTGCAGAGCACCCATCTCCAGTGCCCTGGCAGGGATGGCACTGGTGGTGGCATCAGCCAGTGCAGCACATCCCTGCACACAGCCTGTCCCCAGGAGCCCCTGTGACCAGCTTTGCTCCCAAAGCCTGGCCCTGTGCCACAGCACTGAGGGTGCATCTGCTTCCCACAGCATCCCTGCAGTGCCTGAGCCACAGCCCCAGCACACAGACAGACAGACAGACAGGAGCCCTGGCCTCCAGAGAGGATCGCTCTCCCAGCTGACTCTGCTGGGATTTGGCTCTGGCCTGGCTGTGGCTCCTGCAGCTGCCCCAGCTGAAGCCCAGGAGCCCTTTCTGCCCATGCAATGGGGGGCAGGAGGGCAGAGCAGGAGCCCCCACACCAGGACCTGTGACACCCTCATCCTTCTGCAGCACCAACATCCCACCAGCATTCCTGTCCCTTCCTAACTCCTCCGGGACCAAGCTGTCCCAGGACACCCTGAATCCCTGAACCTGATGGTGCCACCCCCAGGGTTCTCTCAGGGGACAGGGAGCCCTTGAGCAGCAGATCTTCCTCAGATCTTCCTCAAAACAGGGTCTGTTTTGGGCCTTGGGTAAACTCTGCCGCTCTGAGTGCACCCAGATGCAGCTGGAAGCCTGAGGTGCAGGACAGGGATGGGGCAAACACTGGAGTTAGTGAGAGGATGGGCTGGGACACCTCTGAAAAGGAGCAGTGCCTGTAGGGCAGGGGTACAAGGGGGCTGCAGGGCTCCCCCAGCAAACACCCCATGCTGGGCTGGGCTGTGCAGGTTTGGGGCTGAGCAGGTTTGGGGCTGTGCTCAGTGGGACACCCCAGGCCACCCCCCTGCACCCAGAGGAGCCAGGGGCACTGCTGGAGCTTTAGGGCTGTGCCCAGGGACCCCTGCACAGTGCAGACCCTGGGCATGGACAGGGGGCTGTCACAGGGAACTCACAGGTGACTGTCACAGGTGACTGTCACAGGGGATGGTTCTGGGCAGGGCATGGAGCAGGCAGGAGCCCAGAGCACTGGAGTGGATTCTCAGGGGAAGGGGAAGTTCTGAACCCTGGTCTGACCAAGCCTGATGGGTTCTTCAGTGACCTGACCCTGTCCCTGAGCTCTTCCAGCTGTTTGCACCCTTTGATAAAGGGACATTGACCACAGAGAACAGGCAGGCTTGGTGTGTCTGTCCCACCAGGGCACGGAGGGGCACAGCTGCACCCAAGGTCCCCTCGAGGATGGGAGATGAGCACACTGAGGGTGGGTTCCAGCATCAGCCCAAATCCTGCCTGCCCTCTGGGGCAGTTTTGCTCATTCTGCCATCCCCTGTCCCCACAGCCCCTCTGTCCATCCCCTGTCCCCACAGTCCCTCTGCCCTCCCCTGTGGGTGCCTGGCTCTCCCTGAGGGTGGCCAACTTGTCACACCTGAGGTGTGAGGACAAACACAGATCTCAGGCTTCCAGACCTCATTCCTGGGCTGTCCAATTCCACCTGCAGCCCCCTGGACCACCCTCAGCATCCCACAGTGTCCAGCACACTGCAGGGCTGAGCCCCCAGCTTTGGGTGGGACAGGGACAGACAGATGGGGGGACCCTGCTGACAGAAATCCCTGTGCTGGCTGGATGGGGTCTGATGGGCTTTTCCCAGCCCGGCAGCATCAGTGCTGGCTGCAGAGCCAGAGGGAAGGGCACTCTGGGGACTGTCCCTCAGCTCCTTGTGCCCCATTAGGGATCTCTGGCTGTCCTTGTGCCAGGCCAGCAGCCCCACAGCCTGCCCCAGAGCAAGGGGACAGACAGGAGCTGAGTCCTGCATCCCTGGGGCCCTGAGCAGCCCTTACCTCCATGAAGGGCACGATGCGACAGGACACGTCCCCCAGCAGCCTCTTCTTGGTGATCTCGTTGAAGATGACCACCGGCAGGCAGAAGAAGAGGATGAGGAAGTCCCAGAAAGCCAGGCTGGCCAGGATGGAGTTCCAGGCACTCTTCATGTAGTAGTTGTGCCACACGATGCACATCACGGCCAGGTTGGCCACGATGCCCACGGTGAACACGACGAGGGACAGGAACACCACGGCGTAGGCGCTGTAGGAGCCCTCGGTGACCGGGTACAGCGGGTTGTGCATCTGCAGCCGCCGGTCGGACACGGTGCTGAGGTTGGCTCGGGGCTCGGGCCCGTCCCGCTCCGTGGGGACCCCGGGGTCGGTGCTGGAGGGGAGCAGGGCCCGGGTGGGCTGGAGGCTGCCGGAGCTGAGGGGCCGCGGGAATTCCACCCGCACCCCCGGCCCGTACTGCTGCACCGCCCGCGAGTCCTCCTCCGTGCCCCGCCGCTGCCGCTGCCTGCCCGCGGGGACCGGGGCGCTGTGCTCAGCCTGCCCGTGCTCGGAGCTGCCCCGCATCCCCAACGGTACCGGGGCTGTGTGCTCAGCCTGCCCGTGCCCTGTGCTGCCCCGCATCCCCTCCGGTACCGGGGCTGTGTGCTCAGCCTGCCCCGGGCCAGCTCTGCCCCACATCCCCCCCGGTACCGGGGCTGTGTGCTCAGCCTGCCCCGGGCCAGCCCTGCCCCGCATCCCCGCGGCCTCCGGGGCCAGCAGCAGCGCCAGCAGCAGCAGCAGCAGCAGCGGTGGCGGTGGCGGTGCTGGCGATGCCATCGTGCCCGCTCCGAGCCCCGCGGCTCCGGCACCGCCGCTCGCTCCGGCTCCGGCCGCGGCTCTGCGAGCCCGGGCAGCGCTGGGCAGCAAAAAGCGGCTGGAGGGGAGCCCGAGCCCTCTGCTGGTCACCCACCGCCCGGGAGACGGGACAGCGGCCAGACTGGGCAGGTCCACAGCCCCGACACCCCCAGCATCTGCCTCTATATCCCCCAGACATCCCCTCAGCATCCCTAAACATCCTCAAATCCATCCCCAGCATCCCCACAAATCCCCCAGTATCCTCAAACTTCTCCCCAGCATCTCCACAGACCCGACATCCCCAGCATCTGCCTCAACATCCCCAAAGAGCCCCGCGGCATCCCCCTGACATCCCACAACATCCCTCCATCTACCTCAGCATCCCCAAACAGCCCCTCAACATTCCCAGACATACCATAGCATCCCCCAAACATCCTCAAACCTCTTCCCCAGCATTTCCACACCTCCAGCATCTACCTCAACATCCCCAAACATCCCCCCGACGTCCTGCAACATCCCCCAAACATCCTCAAACCCCTCCCCAGCATCCCCACAAATCCCCCAATATCCCCAAATATTCCCCAATGTCCCTCCAGCATCCTCCCCTGAATAAAAATTCTCCAAGATCCCCAAACATCCCTTCAGCACCCCCCTGGAATTCCCCATCCTGGAATACCCAGCATCCCCCAACACCCCCAGTTTCCCTCAGCATCCGCAACATCCCCCCAGATTCTCCAATGCTCCACAACAGCCCCAGGTGGGCAGGACAGGGCTGCCAGGGTGGAGCACAGGGTGTTCTGAGTGGGTTTATGGTGGGATGTGGGACATTGCTTATCAGGAGCCAGGACATCCCTCTGGCTGTCCAGGATGGCCCAGACCCTGCCAGGGGGCTCAGAAACCCTGGCACAGAGCCCAAAGCACCTGTGGGTTTGATTATGACCCATGGAGCAAATTACCAACCTTAGATGAAGATCAGCAAGCCGCAACTGTAGAATATTAGTGAATTTATCATGGGGTGGAAAAGTAGATTTTGGAGTTTTTGATATGGGGGTTCAGGGGGCAAGATGGAGGGATCTGGGCATGTCCAGCCTTTCTCCTTCTTCTTGGCCTCCATCTTCTGCTGTGATGGTGGCACTTTTGGATTGGTTTAGAGTAGAAGCTCACTGTCTAACACAGGTGATAGGTATTGGGAAGTGATTGTAAACATTGTACACGTAGTTTTTAGTATAAAGACATAACACTGCCCTGGGGGCAGGCAGAGTGCCTGGACTGTCCAGCTGGACGGACCTCTGTGACCGTGTTCACAGGGGTCTCAAGTTGAGGGAAGATACAAGGATCTGACTCCATGTTTCAGAAGGCTGATTTATTATTTTATGATGCATATTGCATTAAAACTATACTAAAAGAGTAGAAGAAAGGATTTCATCAGAAGGCCAGCTAAGAATAGAATAGCAAGGAATGATAACAAAGGTTTGTGGCTCAGCTCTCTGTCCGAGCCAGCTGGGCTGTGGTTGACCATTAATTAGAAACAACCACATGAGATTAATCCCAGATGCACCTGTTGCATTCCACAGCAGCAGATAACCATTGTTTACCTTTTGTTCCTGAGGCCTCTCAGCTTCTCAGGAGGAAAAATCCTAAGGACAGGATTTTCATAAAAGATGTCTGCGACAGACCTTGGCTCGACAGGAGAAAGAATTTTATAGATAAGGAACAATAAGCCAACTTGAGACCAAGAAATTAAGAGCTCTGACTCCTTCTTCGAGCACCAGGCTGGGAAAAGAGACTTTCCAACTTTTCTCGGGGTCACTGTGACAAGCTAAAGGTCCCGACAATGCTGACAGAGTTTTGGTGTGGGATGGCCCCTTGCTCCACTCACAGCCACACTGAGCTCAGCTGGCACTTGGGCCACCACAGCTGGGCTGACACAGACTGTGGGGCTGGGGGACAGGAGCAGTGAGTGCCCCCAGATCAGAGGGCTCAGTGAAGCACAAACCCCTCATCCCCCCTGCCCTGGAGCTGCTCCTCAGTGTGTCACAGGCAGGGTCAGCCAGGGCTCAGCTCTGCCCGAGGGCTCTCCCCTCTCATGATGCCTCAGGTTTGGCTTTTCTATTTTTCAGGTTCTGTGCTGCTTTAGTGTGTGGGTTTGGGCTTCACATTATGGGATGGTGAGCTCTGTTCACAGAGCAGGGAGACAAAACAATTCCTGCTCCAGCTGGGGACCAAGGACAAATGATCCAAATCTGAGGTCCAAGAGCTCAAACAACATGAACTAAAACCAGAAAAACAAGCAGGATGGGGCTTCATGGGTTAAAGCTGTAATTGGACAATTAACCCCAATATGCAAATGGACCAAAACTTATAAAAGTGAGAGACCCCATGACCTGTCATCCATTTTGTGGCCATTTTGGTTCACCTGGGGTGTAGCCCTGGCTGCTGTTGGAATACAAGCCCCTCATGGCACAGGCCTGGAGGGAAATCTAAGCACAAGGATTGAACTGAAACCCCATGAGAAACTGAGATATATAAAGCTACAAAGTGAAATAGATATATAGATTTAGAATACAGGTTTTAGCTTTCAGTAGAAACTGACACTAAGTGCTTTGAGTATCTAAAAAGCTGCAATAGAGAACAAAAGCTTTTTTGTCTTTGGGCACAATTCTACCATAGTAGTGGCATTTCTATAAGGTTGCTTTGCCCCAGATAAAATGTAAATTGCTGGGCTCTTGTGCTGCCCAAGGTGGATCCATTGAGGCCTCCTAATAAATCCCTATTTTATTCTTTAGCTCTGTCCAGCCTCTGTTCTAGCTCAGCCTTCACCAGGCATCACTCACCCTGCTTCTGCAGCCACGTGCTGCTCTCTGACTCTCAAATGCTCTGAGTTTTGAGCACCATTTGGAAATCCTCATGAGAAAAGGAGGATTTTGGCTCCTGCTGGGCTCTACAGGAGCAGACTGGCAATGCCCAAGGTCTGCCCTGCAGCCTCAGAGGGATCATTGGCCTGAGGAGGAACAGCCCAGCCTGAGCTCCCTGAGAGCCAAGGATGTCACAGCATCCTGTGAGCTTCAGGTGCCTGTGGATGTGACTGCCTGCTCACAGAAAGGCAGATAAGCCTTCCCATGAATTGGTCTGGGAAGTTTTTAGGGAGGCAAAGAATGGTAAACAAATGGTGAACAATCTGCAGCTGGTGTTTTGAATAAGTTGTTTTTTTCATAAGGTGTTTACCAAAGGGTGGTTCCTTGATTAACTAACTGGGTTACATGTGTTATCGAGAAGCAGCCAGGTTCTGGCGAACAATGTTGGTTATAAATATCATGAGACTGTAATAAAGATGCATTTTTAGCCCTCTGATAGTGGATGGAGTGTGTCACTATCCCCACAGGTGACTCAAAGGCTGCAAGGATTCCAGGGAATCTGTAAAAGTTCACGTGAGTCAGGGTTCATGACTGCTCTGCCCTTGATCCACTGCCCTGTACCTGAAATGACCCAGGAGAAAAAATGCCCCAAAGAGCTGAAGTGTGCCCAGTCTGAACAGGGCACAGCGCCGTGCCCGGGGTGCCAGCAGAGCCAGGGCAGGGGCAGCCCGGCCAGCCAAGCACACAGAGGGTTAAATGAAGGATGAATAACTTGAACTTGAACTTGCTCCTCAGCAAACCCCAGCGCTGCCCCAGCTCCCTCTGCAAGGCTCAGGCAGGGGAGATGGGGGCACCAGTGCCCACAGCAGGCTCAGGGGGGCTGGCACTGCGCCTTGGCAAGGCTTGGGCAGAACCCACCCTCTGTGCCAGGGCCAGGATGGGCAGAACCCACACTGTGCCAGGGGCCAGGATGGGCAGCTTGGCAGCGCCCACCACCCCTGAACACCCTCCAACAGCACCCAAATATCCCCCAAAATCTCCAGCAGCACCCTAAGATCCCCCAGCACCCACCCACCATCCCACAGCACCCCCCAGCACCCACCCAGCATCCCCCAACACCCACCCAGCACCCATCCAGCATCCCACAGCACCCACCCAACATCCCCCAGCACCCACCCAGCATCCCCCAACACCCACCCAACATAACCCAGCTTCCCTGAGCACCCACCCAACACCCCCCAGCACCCACCCAGCACCCACCCAACACCCCCCAGCACCCACCCAGCACCCACCCAACATCCCACAGCACCCACCCAACATCCCCCAGCACCCACCCAGCATCCCCCAACACCCACCCAACATAACCCAGCTTCCCTGAGCACCCACCCAACACCCCCCAGCACCCACCCAGCACCCACCCAACACCCCCCAGCACCCACCCAGCACCCACCCAACATCCCACAGCACCCACCCAACATCCCCCAGCACCCACCCAACATCCCACAGCACCCACCCAACATCCCACAGCATCCCTCAGCACCCACCCAGCACCACCCAGCACCCACCCAGCATCCCCCAACACCCACCCAACAGCCCCCAGCACCCACCCAACACCCACCCAACACCCCCCAGCATCCCTCAGCACCCACCCAACATCCCCAACACCCACCCAGCACCTACCAGCATCCCCCAGCACTCACCCAGCACCCACCAGCACCTCCCAACACCCCCCAACATTCCCCCAGCATCCCCCAGCACCCATCCAGCAACCACCTAACATACCCCAACACCCATCCAGCACCTCCCAGCACCCCTCAACATCCACCAGCATCCCCCAACATCCCCCAACACCCACCTAACACCCCCCAGCACCCACCCAGCACCCCCCAACATTCCCCAGCACCCCCCAGCATCTCCCAGATTGCTGAGCAGGGCATGAGCAGGGGCAGGAGAGGAGCAGATGAGCAGCTCCTCCCTCCCTCCCTCAGTGCCCCATCAGCTCGGAGGAGGGAGCCCTTGCAGCGCTCTCCTGCCAGGTGCTGGCACCCAGGTGCTCTGCAGGAGCTGAGCTATTTTTATTTTTTTTTATTTTTGGTTTCATTCCGCGGCATTGCACAAGGCCAGGCGTTGTCACGGAGCTGCCTGGAGGGGTCACTGGGGCAAGGTGACACTGCAGAGG